TATGCGTGTTAAAAACTTTTTGTCAACGGAACGGCGAGCTTCCCGCAGAGTGGATGGCCGGGGAGCGGGTGTGGTGTGGTGTGGTAAGAAAGAGAGTTTGTCATTTCATTTGTTTAACTCTCTTTTTCAGTCCCTTTCAGTTCCCTGGTTTTCGTGTGGCCCCTTTTTTAACATTTTGGTCACATTCTACCCGCATTTTTAAGGGTTTTCCCAGTTGATTTTTTGTTATTGTTGGTAGACTGTTGGTTTTGTCGTGTATCTCTAACAATGCGAAAATTGTATCTTAAGCGGGCGTAACTTGTATGCGGATGGATTTGTATCTGCTATCCGTTTTAGCGGTTGACTTTTGATGGCTTTCTTATGCGGGTTTGCGGGTGAGGTTAGAGATTAGAGTTTAAAGCCCATACAGGAGGTTTACTTAACAGTGTAGGCTGACACTTCCTTTGCGAATCTATTCCACTCATTTTCTAATTTTTTGCTTACCTTTAATCTCTTTCGGACATGCTTTGCACAGTGCCATAAAGTGTGCCTCCGGTGGAATCGCTATCATTTCTTATTTGCCTTTTTATATCTCAATTTCCGTTTTTCGATGTTCTTTCTTCTCATGTTGTTTTTTTTTCCTTTGTTCGCTGTCTCTTTGAACTGCAATTAAGATTGCTTACACTCATATGGCAGCTGTTCTCCTGGTTGCTGTGCTTTTAATGCCTGCGGCTACAATCAAGGTGTTGCAAAGAAAGGGTAAGTCACTCCCTATTTTCGGGTCACAAAATTACTTGGCCACTCTATCTATCTGTTGCTTTATTCGTGTCACCACACAAACTGGAAAAAAAAGACAAAATAATCTTAGTTTTGCAATGAAATGAAATTGAAAGTCTCGAACAACGGAAATGTTCCACCCCATTAAAATATACCTTGTGCTATCTTTGCCCTGCCTCTGCTGCCTACTCTGGGTTTTTCTGCTGTCTGCTCTCGCTCTCGCTCTCGCACTTACTCTCTTCTTCAACTCTCTTTGCATCTGCTGACGGCGCTGTCGCTGCCCGTGCGGACTGCTCTGCTGTCGTTTCATTTGCATTCTTATCGCCTTCTCTCTGCCGCGCTTAAATGTCGCCAGCATGAAACATTTTTCTTTCCCATTCCCTCCCCTGCTCAAAAGCTCAGCCAATTTTTTGTTGTTGATTTTAGAATGTTTCTTCTCGTGTTTATCTTCCGTCTTCCGTCACATGTGCGTATGAATGCCCTTTCTCTTTCTAGTCTCAGCTTTTTTTCTTTCGTTTCTCTAGCTGTTGATTTTTCTATATATGTATGTATAAAGGTTCCCTGCGGTGTTGTTTGCCTTGGTGGGAGGGGAGTGGGAGGCGGGTAGGGATCTGTGAAAGGTGACTGCGTATGCGACTGCGATTGTGACTCACCTCCCTCTCTTGTGGTTCCAGCATTTCAAATTTTTGTGAATTTTAATATCCCGCATTTGAAGAGGACAAAGGTATATTGGATATGGGATTACTTTCGCCATCCATGGGCATAAAAATATGTGACACAAACGGTACAGATCCACGGGACTTCTCTTGGTTGATGGGTCTCCGCAGATACGACGTGGGATCAAATATTCTCATAAATCCATTTCTGGGTATGCGAATGTCGACCATCTTTGGGATAAGTCAACGTATGTGGGTGGGTGGCTGGTGTGAAATATGTCAAGCGAGTCGGATATCTTGGGTGCTGCTGTGTAATCAAGAGTCATGGCAGGAAACATGCCCCACGGCCAGGAATCAGAGGCGGAAAGTCTTTCCCCCATCCTTCTGATGAAGGATTTGATAAGCGAATGTCAGAATGACATACGAATTAGATGCTAATGACGGGCCACTGCCGGGGATAACGCCTGATGAAGAGTCATTTGTGGAACTTAAAGTTTACACAGATACAAATGATGCTGTCACCGCAAAATTGCTTTACTTTCACTTGCTGAAAATTGCACACATCACATGGAGAAAGTGGGGTTTCCCCAGCTCCGTTCCGTCTGAGGCTGGAAAATGTTTACAGAATGTTGGTGCAATGAAAATTCTGCCCGAGCCGAAAGTCAATTCATTTCGAGCAAATTGTTATTTCAATTGTCAGCACCTCCCCCCTGTGACACACTCTCTCTCTGCCTTCGCCTGTGTGCCCCACTGGCTGCACTACTCCTGCTGTGTGCAACATACCAGTACCAGTACCAGTACCATATGCAGTTAATTTTGTGCTTGTGACTGCAATAAATTTTAAAAGCACATTTCCAATGAAAGAAGCGAACTGAAAATCAAATGAAACGAAACGAAACGGAAAACAATTTTCTGCAATTTCACTAAAACGACATACCAATTGTTGTGTACGGGAGGACGAGGATAGTGGCGGTCGGGGATTGGACACAGTGACACACATTTGTATGTTTGTATGTGCAACTCCTGGACAACAATCGAGAATCGATGGAAGCTCGGACTCTCGGGGCCAGCGACAGCCACAATTGACGACAAATGATATTGTTGTTGGCCAAAGTGCAGCGTTTAAGGAAGACACATGCTCCAATATGCAGTAATATGTAGTATCCTGCACTTACTAAGCTTTGTTCTTTTTCCACATTCTATTTTATATATTTAGTTTTATGTCACTGTTTAAAGTCATTTTTAAATGTGCGTAAATATGTTTTAATTTTGTGCACTGAGTTGGAGAGTTGCAAAGTTTTGGCAATATATAATATAATATTGTAAATTTTGAGACAAAAGTTTTGTATTTTCTGTTTAATTTACAGAAAATTTCATGCAGCTCTTTTAGGTTAATTGGAAACTTTCAATAAACATGGTTGTTTGTCAGATATTAAAAAATGCTCCTAATTGGCTATAAGCCGATTAGTTGGCATAAGTTCAACAGCCTTAAGCAACCTCTTTCCAGTGCAATTGTTGGCAATATATGTTTATTAATTTCCTTCTGACAAACCACCTTTGAGAGACCAAAACAAAAACATCATTGCGGAAAATTTTGCGCATATTTTTGCTTGTTATTATTTCCGCAATGCAAGGCAGAACGCTACAATGAGAAAGAAATGTTGATAGCTGCACAGAGATAGAGAGATAGAGAGAGAGAGAGAGAGGTCGAGGCTGGGAGAGAGTTGGGTAGATTGTTGACTCATTTGTGGGGGGTGGGGGGAATGTTGCGGCGTTGCTTTCGTTTGTTCGGCAGAGGCGCAACGAGGCAAACATTTGTTTTAATTAATATGAAATGCAAATTGCATAATTTAAAATGTTTATTCATTTAAATTTTTAATTACAATTAATTTGAGGTCTCCTGCTGCAGAGAGTAAAAATGATTTCCGATCAAATGAATGAGGTAATGCGGGGGATGTGGTGGCACTTTAAAATACACAGGAATCCCTGACATCCGCTATACCAATGAAATCATTGCTAAAATTGAAGTTTCCCTTGGTAAATCTTCTTATCAAAGTGATTTTTCGCAGCACTGGCCAAAGCTGGATGATGGATGGGGCATGTGAAGCAATCAAATGGTCGTAATGTCATCCACACACATGAAAGTGGATAGTGGGACCTCCTATACACACAAACACACACGGTCACACGTACTCACACATCACAGCAGAGTAGCAAAAGGACGAAGGATGATGACGATGATGATGATGAGTCACTTTGGTCACGAAGCTATTTTTACGCTTGATTACACGATAAATGAAAATCAAACGTTTGATTGCTTAATGCCATGGACTAAGGGTCATCTGCAACAGCAGAACACCCAAAGCCATCGTCCCATCCACCCACACCAAAAGTGCTGCAATTTTGCGAAAAGATAAGTCTCCAGAGAGATAGAGCCAGAGTAGAGAGAGAGACTTGGGGGTCGTATGGCAGCACCAACATTTCAATTATTTATATGCTCGTTTGTCCCCTCCCTTTGCACCATCCACTGACCCATGGGGGTGAGGTCCAGTGTGTGTGTCTATGCACGTGTCTGATAACCCAATGGACGCTTCAACACTTGACTGCTTTCTCTCACTTCTACTTCCACATCCACTTGCACTTCCACTTCCCCTTCCTCAACCACATCCATCTCCAGTTATCATTTATTTCCTTTGGACTTTGACTGATTTTCTGATAGTTGAGTGCGTTCTCTGGCTACAGTGAAGGCTAAAAGTTATTGCCCAGTTGCCAGTTCCAGTCCAACACCTCTTTGAGGGAACGTTGAGGTTGCAGGCGCCTGCTTTCGTACTTTGATTGATTTGTTAATCTCTAAACGAAATACAAATTAAAAGCTTTTTGTTTTGCCATCAACTCAACAGCAACCCCAGTGCCATTTCTATGCTGGGACCGACCACGCTAAACCGCTTATGTTAATTGCATTTTTGGGGTTATTCAATGTACAAAGTTAAGAGCTTCCTTCTGCCCGCAATCAATCAATCAGAACAAGCGTCTTAGGGAGCGTCTTCCAAGTCCAATCTTTGGGTTTGCTTTTGCAACTAAGTTCTCGATGGAATTCTATTTACATTTTTGACTCATTTCGTTTGGTGGCTTAAGTAGGGCACGAAAAGGGGTTAAATTTGGGACGGAGAGTCGGGTTCGGTGTATTTCTATCCTACTTATTGATGAGTTGGGTAAGTCGCTTGCCAGAGTCTGTTTTGACTACGAGCGGAGCAATCAATAACAAAATGCTGACTGAGATAAATTAAAATTTATCTTCGAAGATGTAGAATTCCTTTAACGGTTAGATATAACCTTCCTAAGCCGTTTCACTGATACCTTAAGTATTTGTCTTAAGTCTTAACCATACCTACTTCTATTTTGTCAATCAGAAGTTCCTTCACTTGTCTCACTTTTAGTTCCACTTCAACGCCCTTACAACGCCCCGAGGCGACACTGATAGCTTAGCTCGGCGGCAGACTCGACGATTGACACTTGATGAATGGTTCGCTGACTTTGAAGATCTCAATGTCTCAATGCCTGCGACATATTCACACGCCGCTGATTTTCAAGCTCAAGCGAAAGACCTTAGAAATGTGCACTTTTAATTTCGGATAGAGATATAGATTAAGATATAGATACTCGTAATATGTAGAGTGTAGATGTACAACCTCCCCTTTGGTTAATAGTAATATTTGGCACAATTTGATTTGGTTGCAGTTCATCTGTGATTTACCGATTTCCCAATTTCCCTGGGCCCCTTTTAGGGTCTCGCCAGCTGGCAGTTCTGAACTCTCGCATAGTTTTCCGTGTAAATCAGATCGCAGATGGCAGCGTTATTGTCGAAGCTCATCTCCGACACCTTGAACTCCGGATTGATGGCTATTTTAAGGATGTAGGAGCCAGGACTCAGGTCCGTAACGTCCACCCATTGGCAGTCCAGATTATACAGATACACATCAGAGCAGTTGATGGAGATGCCTTAAAAAATACGCTGTAGATGGTCAACCTTGGTGGATTAGTGGCTTTCCGCTCACCCTGATCTCCATAGTTGGCGCAATTGTATTTCTTGGCGACTCCAGGCAGACAGCTGCTGTCCTCCAGACAGAAGGAGGCCTTGTGTCCCTGCGCCACCTTACGACCGCTCAAATCGAAGATGTCAAAGGTGGCAAACACTTCCATGCTGTGAAAGTGCCTGCAAAGAGAGGAGCGGAGGGAAGGGAAAGTGCTCTTGAGGTGCCACGGAGATGCCAAAGCGGAGCTATCTACTCACATGTGGCACATGTGCCACTCCCACTGACTCTTCTCCTTGAAGGGGCGGAAGTCCGCATTGCCCGCATTGATGGCGGCCGCCGTGAACTTCAGGAGCCGCCTTGTGCGATAACGCCAGTGGGGATCGTCGCGCTGTATCTGATAGGCTTCGCTGGCCACGCAGTTTTCCTCCATGGCGCACTGCATCAGCAGCATGGGTCGATCCTCCAGATGGGCCGTCTGCTCAATCTCCAGGTAGTCAATCACCAGATCGGGCGAGGAGTAGTCACAGATCACAGCCGCCACATGCTGCCTGCTGCCGTGGCAGCTTACGATCCCGCGGATCGGATCGTGGTGCAGGCAGTCGGCCAGCTCCGTTTCGTTGCCGTAGCACTCGCTGCCACTGAGGACGGGCCGAGAGACGTTGGCGCCCCCAAAATAGTCGGTCTGGAAGGCGTCACGTGCGTAGCCGAGCCCCAGCTGGCGGCAAACGACATTTGCCTCGAGCAGGGACCAGCCATCGGCGCAGATGCTGCCCCAGCGTCCGCCATCCAGTCGCACCTCCACGCGGCCCTCGTACCGCTCTCTACCGCCACGCAGCTGAACGTACAAGCGGGAGCGCGAGTGAATGGGGAACTTGGGTATATCCTCATCCCTGAGGAGGGGCTCGGGTATCGGTGCATCTGCCGGGGGATTGCATACCACTCCCGCTGCCTCGCCCGGCTCGCAGTCGTTCTCGCCCCATCCCTCGAAGTGGCACTCGACCAGCTCCTGCTCGTGGCCCTCACAGAAGAGATTGTCCATCCAGAAGCGACGACGGGCAGGGCCGAAGTAGCCGCTGTGCGTGTATCGCCGCATACCGGGAAATCCCAGCTGCCGGCACACGATATGTCCCTCGGTGGCATCCCACTCATCGTCGCAGATGGCGCCCCACTTGCCATTGTGCAGCACCTCAATGTTGCCTGAAAGACGAGCGTCAGTCCATGCGGATCCTCTGCTGATCTGCGCTCACCTTCGTATTCGTTGTCGCCGCCGACCAATCGGATGGCTCCCTCCTCCTTGTTGAGCGCTTTGATGTACTTGTGCACCAGCCTCTGCCGCTCCAGGCGTGCATCCTCCAAGGAACGATGCTGCACTATGCCCGCAGCCAGTTGACACCAAAGTATAGTCACGCACAAGACTCTAGGACCCATGTTGAAGCTGAAACCAAGCTGCGATCCTTGCGCACATTCAACCGCCTCAACGTTCGCTCGAGAACTGAACGCGGCTTGAACATTTTTGAGCGGCAAACAGAATCATTTAACTATGAACTTGCCAGCTCCATAGATACAAAGATACATAGATAGGTAGGTAGGTAGGTGGGTTGCTAGGTAGCTAGAGATACGGTTCAGAAGCTCGCTCATCTGACGTCAGCAACAGACGAGGGCGCAGATCGAGACGCGATCCAAATCCAAAACCAAAACCAAAGCTGAATCGGAATCGGAATCTATTTTCCGCACGTAGCACATACGAGTAGAGTATGCATGTCACTTAATGACTTTTTCAGACAACATTTTGAGGCAACTCTGACATTGCTGCACTCTTTGTTGGATCTTTCAACGGGGCGGACTACAAACGGCACCGAATCACGGCACACTGACAGAAAGTTTATAGAGACGGATAAGAAAATATGAAGAAATATTTTCAGAAGCAGAAATACCTTTTTCTGGTTTATATATTTTTCTGATTAATTTTTCATTCATTAAAACGGTACCCAACAATTTCTCTGCGTGGATTTTTGCCTACGGCCTTGCAAATATTGCTCCATAAACAAATACGAAAAGGAAGCAGAAGCCCATGTCTCATAAAACAAACAATAAAGCATTTTAATATATATTTCTCACAGACATTACCAACATTTAATGAGGGCTTTGGAGTGAACCCTTAACCTCCGCCCAGACCTTCCCCGCCATAAAACCATTGCATTGCGAAATTCCTAATCCAAAAATGCGAATGAAAATGAAAATGAAAATATGGAAGTCGACGCTATAATTTAGTGACTGAACACGACCCACATATGAATCTGTTGTGTGTTGTGTTTGGAATGGCAAAGTCATCGTATCGTCATCATCCAACCATCCATCGGAATCCGGCGGTAGTGTCCAGGGGGCGGGGGTGAAGTCCATTAGTTTTGGCATGCGGCCATTTGAAACATTGCATGCAGCTTGGCCAACATGAACTTGACACTGAAACAACAGCAAACAACAAGCGGAAAAACACACACATGGAAAACTGCGAGATGTACATATGTATGTAGGTACAATAAAAGCGAAGCCACGCCAAGCTGTAATGAGGTTTATTCCGTTTTGGTGCGGATCGTTGCATGTCGGGGAGGGGGGGCTGGGGGCTGGGGGCTGGGGGCTGGGTGCTGTGTCAGTGGCAGTGTGGGTGCCTCATTAGCAAAAGTGCCAGCAGCCCCAATCGTAATTGGAAATCTAACTCGTTTAGGTCAGCCCTGAGGCAGAGAGAGAGATAGATAAAGAGGAAGCACACAGCTTTCAGATGCTCGTAGAATGAGAGATAGAGAACTGAAATCCATTGAAGCGTGATTTCCATACATTTGCTGGATAGATTTTCAAGATCAATGTAGATCATAGAACGCAACAATTGTCGAATCATGTACCTCTGACAAATAAATGACAGTTCGTTGTCATGCAGAGCAAAAGTGTGGCATGTACAGTAAATGGGCAACGAGTGCCACAGCACTCATTTAAATGTTCCTTAAAAACTTATTTCCGACAGCAGTTAGGAATATTCCACACAAATCCATGAATATCCAGAACTATATTATAATAAATGCCCATCAATATATACGTACTATAACCCAACACATACACACACATCATACATAATATGTATGTAAATATCCATACGAATGCCCGCACGAACGGATCATAAATATTAGCCGGAGATATTAATTGGATAAACGTTTTATGATATTGAATTATGGGAACGGAAAGGGAAGAAATGGAGAGGACTCTAACGTTTGACCGGAAATATTCCCACACAAGTCACAAAAGGGTGGGGGAAACAATTTTATGAGTGCGTAAATTCCATTTGGATGGCCGCAAGGGCTAAGGGCAGTGGCAGCAAGGACATGCCGCAATCCTGGCGCAACGTCATGCACAAAGGTAATAAAATTCGATAGAAAATCGTGTAATAAAATCATTACACACCAGAAGCAGCATCAGGAGGAGCAGTAGGAAGAGCAACCCAGAAGCAGGACAATGTCTGCTCTTTGGCTTTGCCATGGCAATCCGAGCACTAAAATCAAACTGGTCTGGCAACGCCACAGGCGACGAACCAATCTGCTCCTCTAGATCCACTCCCTGCACTGCTGCTCCTCTGCATCCACTCCCTGTGCGGCGGCTCCTCCAGATCCACTCCCTGCACTGCTGCTCCTTCAGATCCACTCCCGCTCCTGCTGTGCCTCCTCCTAAGACATAAAAATGGCAACGTGTGCTGCTGGCTAAGTCGGAAAAACGGCGACAGCAGCAGCAGCCTCCTCTTTGGACCAACAATAAAACGAAAGAAAAGTGGCACAAAAAGAGGACAAAGTGGAAACCAGCGGGAAAATAATTTGTGTGGGAGTTGCCCACCCTCAAGGGATCCCCATGACGGGGCGGGGGGCACCGAGAGGCAAGAGCCCAAGAACGGATGAAAAGATAAAAAGTGGTTAAAGGATATTGAAAGGCGGTAAATTGCTTTATTACTTAAGTGAGCCCGAGATGATTAGGTTCGCGCTCAGCCGTTCAGGCGTTCTGCCTTGTGGCTGCCTCATTAAAACGACGCGTCGTCCGGTCACTGGGCGCTGCGAATGGAAAATGCAAGAGAATGCTTGCAGCAGTGGAAGGGCGGGCGAACCCATTAACTGAGTGTTAACATGGTCCAAACGACTTGGAACACAATGGGTAAGCAGGGCCATTAACAGAGCGAGAACAGGGCTCAACAGATCAGAACTGTGGAAGGGGGATAATAATAATGGTAACTGAGCCCTAGGCTATGCATGTCTTCAGGACAGATTTACATTGCAATTTGGATTTGAGCTGGATAGGATATCACGCTGGTATAATTTGATATGTATACTGAATCAGAATATATAAAGCAACAAAATAAACAATAATTAAAGTACATTTACTAGTACTTTAAAAGCCCCAAGTTCTCTCAAAAGCTACTCACTCTTGTACCCTCCTTTGTAAACAGAAGCCCATAACTTTATTAAGCGCGCAAAGACAAGAAAAGACAAGCGATGGCATTAAATCTCTTCATAATGATATCATACAGTCCTATCATAAGTACGAGTATTTGGCGAAGCTCATTTGGACATTAATAAAATTGGATGACGCGCTGACAGCATAAATGTCACAGAAAATGCTATTAAAACTAAATTATAGCCGGCATAACCATGATTCACGAGCGGGCCAGGCCTCCCATCTGCGAAAAGAAATCATAAAAAAATACAAAATGCCAAATTTGTAGCTAGCTTATGGGTAAAAAAAACAAAAAGATTATTAATTCTTAATAAGAAGGCGAAGAATGCAAAAAGAGAAATAAAACAAAAGTTCTATAAAAATGTGGCAAGTGGGGCGTGTATCTGTGGATCTGCCATGAAAATGTGCCAAAACAAAAAAAAAAGAAAACAATTTACTGCCCACAGAGTAGAAGCAAAACAAACCATAGAAAAAAGTTCACAATCAGTGAATGCCCTGCCTTTAATACCCTTTTTTTATGCGAATTTCAATGGAATTGGTTCAGAGGGTAATAAAATTAAAATGCGCCTTTTGCTGTGGACCGAACCGGACCGGACTGATGGTACGAAATTCAGTCAGTCGGACAGTCAAAAGTACGACGAAGCAATAAAAATAATAATGAAATCAAAGGAATAAGCCCCACAGAGAGACAGGGACACACCAGTCTCTCCATGGGGAGGGACATGGGAAAGAAAATGGTTGGTCCGTTTCTCGTTTGGAATTATAATGAGCTTTCGCCTGTTGAAAGAAGAACATTTCAATTGCCGAATTAGAAATTATTGCAGTCTAGTAACCTTAAAGTTTAAACACATAAAGAAGCGTAGTAATGTGGAAAATTAGGTGAAATAGATATAGATATACATATACATACAGACATTAAAGAGCCATGACATCTGTTGACCAGCAGTCTTTAAAAAGTACCACCCCAAATGCTGGTTAGTATTCTTATTTCTGATTTACTGAAGCGTTCAGATGCGATTGAACTTCCTGGCAAGCTGACGACAGTTTATCGCAATTCAATGGCATTCGGGGCATGCCATGCACTCAGCATTACTGTAAATATGTACCGGACAGACTCGTACTGTGTATGGATAACAGGTGGCTTTTCCGGTCTTCAATTTTTGTTTGCTTCATTCATTTCTCTTGCATCGCCTGATACAGATTTTTCCAGGCATGATGGAATGATTTTTATTCGAAATTCACGATGGTTTGAAAGAATGTGAGCGAGTTTGTGTATTTACAGGAAATACCAATACATCTTCCGCATTCACATTCACACTCCTCACATAACAATAAATATCCAAAAATGAAGTCTCTGTAAATATTGCCAGTCATACATTTTTAGTCAGCCCTTGTAAGAAGTAGCTACAGCTAAATACATTGTATTTTATTTTTTGAATTTTATTTCATTTTAAGTTAATTTCGGCTTTGGCCGTTACCCCTGACTTAGGCCGGGGCATGCCCCAGGGCTAGAGACAGCTCTCTGTGGGGGGTTTGCGACAAAAAGATTTTGCTTATGCTACTGTCTGCCTGTCTTGCCAGACAGTGTGTGCAAATATTTATTTTGGCAGTTTCATGAAGTCAAAGCCCGAGCAAGCCCAAAGCAAGCATGAAAAATCAAAAGAAAATAGAAAAATATCTTTATCTAGCAGGAGAGTCAAAATACAATATATGAGTACAATATTGTTTGGCCCATGGAATCAATTAATTTTTTTTGTTTGACCGAGTTCTACCAGTCTGTGGGCTGCTAATTGAATTTGCCATATCATAATATACTATAGCAAAATAATAAATAAATCCAGTGAACAATGCCTCGATGGGTTTGAAAGAGAAAAGAGACATGGGGGAGAGACACATGTTCCATATCATGGAATTTGTTCCTGTGCAGACTAAATGAATTATGTCACATGTCTAGCCATTTAGTGCCATAATTCAGAGCAATCTATGGCGGCACAGACAACAGCCATCACCAATCCAATAGAAGGGAAAGGCGGTGCAGGGAACGGAACCTAAATTGCACGCAGTCCAGACAAATTGCATTTGCATAGCGTAATTGGAAAATGTCGCGTGTGGGAACAAAAAATATATAGAGCTAAAAGGATTGAAAAACTATAATGACAAAGCTGCAACAAAAGAGATATCCAAATGGGAGCGCATCATAACAAAATGAGTTGGATTTGCCCATAGCCGGTAGCATATACAAACTGTCTACATATGGCGGGAATATATTTGAATGAATTCTAAATGAGCTCTAGAGCTCAAGCACATTTCATACATTTACAGCTATTTTAATCGACTCCCACTTCATTACACTACACTACACAGCACTCAATACTCGGGCGAGCACAAAAGAATCTCTCATGATGATTGAGTTGATACAAGAGCTTTACTTTTAAAATTCTGGAAAGCATTCCGCTCGATGAGTTGCACATTATTTGATGCTTTGCTTTTCTGCTGCTATTATATAAATCTCTCAAATTTTTCCCATCCAATGATCTCTAGACTTTTCCGTCATCGTATATGTTCATTCAAGATAATTCACTTGAAAACAAAACGTAGAATTTTCAAAAAAAATAATATAGATATATTTTAAATTGCGAACCAAAGTCTCTTGGAAATTATGGCCGTTGCAGTGCGACTGGTGGAAGCCCTGACCCTGATCACCATAATGGGGCTGATAACATGTCTGAGCCTCAGCGTGAGTCTGGCCGAGCGTGCTATCAGTGTGATCATGGTGTTTCTCCAGGTAAGAATTTGCATTCTCCTCCATTTTGTACTCTTACTCTAAGGATTCCTCAGCCAGCAGCGTATATCGTGCAATTTGGGTTGCTTTTTGTTGAGAAAATTCTGGTGTATGCTTTGCTCTGCATATTGGGTTTTGTCAATACGGTGGCCAAAACTCTGCGTGTGACTGGTCTAGCCTAAGCATCGTTCAGTCATTTGCCCTCTGTCATTTCCGTCTTCTGATCAATGTCGAAGTATCAATAAATTATTGTTAACATTTTTTTAAAATTTTGTTCACCTCTATAAAATCCTCGATTGCGCATCGAAAGCGAAGCCGCAGCACTAATATTCAATCAAACAATTTTACGCCCCAATAAACTTTTCTAACCTGCGGCGGTCTCGGCAAAAGTGCAAAAAAAAAAAAACAAAAATCAAATAAAACAAAACAAAACTTCGCTCAATTGCAGCAAATTTGCGCCTGGCTAGAGGAGGAAGAGGAAGTGAAAAAGTCGGTACAACAAAATGTTTTTACCACAAAAGCCAATTTGGCCGCACATTTCCAATGCGCTCGAGGATGAACATAATTTTTGGTGCCTTTGCTATACCCTCAACAAAAAAGGGTGTGGTAATGCTGGGCAGCAGTTTGTCCGGCAACTCGGACCTCTGTGAATTGTATACAAGATTACAAGATATATGGGTATATACTTACATAGGTCTCATGTGGAATGGAAGTCGGCGTCTAGATAATCGAGGCCGCCTTCTTGGTGCTGTGCTCTTTTTTCATAGGGCATCTGCGAAAGCGGTTTTAATTTGTTCGCCTTTAAAGTTTTCGCACCTTTTTTCAGCTGCTTATTCTATTCTTTAGTTGTTTATCAATGTTGGGTAGGACAGGACCGATGGGACCGGCACGCACTGTTCCGAACTGCTCCGATCCGAGTGTAGGTGTCTGTCTGCAGCGGTTGTCGGGCCCATGGGAGTGTGGGTATTTTTTTTTTTTCGTTTTTGATTTAGTGGCAATTTCGTGAAGCAAAAATTGTGGAATGCCTCGAGGGTAGACTCGAAAACCAGCAGATTACAGGCGGAAATTGAAGCGAGAGTGGAGCTAACAAGCAATAACTGGAACCACTAACCAGAGGCTCCACTGAAGTGAGTCGAGTCGAAGGGTGCGAGGATTAAGCGAACCAATTACCACAAACGCTGAAGAAAGCCAAAGAATCGAATGCATTCAGCATTTCGTTTTCGGCAATGTATTCTGTGTGTGAATAATTGTTTTGGGTATCTACGTGGAACTCGATGGAAACATCCAAGTGGAAATTATAATTCAATCATATTCTAAAGAGGGCAAATTGCCTTTATTACTCGTATTACTGCCTGTTAGGCATATGCATATGTGGAAAATGTGCAAACTTAGATCAATTTATTAGCTTCCTCAACTTCAGGACCTTCGCTGGGTTGGCCCACCGGTGTGGTGTTCCCCGATTCTGGCACCGCCTGCTCGGTGGTGCTGGTGGAGGAGACTGGTTCGGCTGGCTCCTGGTTCTCAGTGTGGGAGCAGGCACAGGCATCGCGGGTATTCGACTCGATCCATTCGTTGAAGTTGCTCACTCGAGTGTAAACGCCCGGGGAATTGGGCTTGGCACAGCCCTCGCCCCAGGACACAACGCCCGCCAGTTGATAGGCTTGTCCTTCGCCAAGGACATGCATGGGTCCACCGCTGTCGCCCTGGCACGAGTCTTTGCCGCCCTGATCGACCAACCCAGCACAGATCATGTTGTCGGTGATCTTGTCGCCGTAGTTGCTGTTCCGGCACTCCTGCTGCGTCAGTATGGGCACCTCCACCTCCTGCAGGGTGTCCGAGATGGGTCCGCCCTCGCTGAGGGCCCCCCAGCCGGTGACGACGGCCGTCTGGCCGGCATAGCTCTCGCTGGCCATGGGCAGGCAGACGGGATGCATGTCGATGCCCAGGCGCACCGGCTCGCTGAAGCGAATCAGGGCAATGTCGCTGTCGAAGGTGCGGGTGCTGTAGCCGGGATGGATGAGCACGCGCGCCACCCGCCTGTCCACGATCTTCACATTGCTGTTCATGCGATTGTGCTCCAGCAGGCGGACCGTGATCAGACGATGGTAGAACCCGTTGACGCAGTGGGCCGCGGTAACGGCGTACTGATCGTTCACCAGCGATGCGCCACAGTAGAAGCTGCCGAACCACATCAGCATCGCCATCCAGGGATACTCGTGCACCTCCGTCTCCTGGCCGCCGACGATGCGGTGGCGCGTGTTGATGTTGCCGCAGGCGCAGGCCGCACACTCCCGCTTGGCCGGCTCACTGGAGTCGGAGTACTCCGGCCCCAGGATCGAGGTGATCCAGTCGAGGAAGCTGTTCTGCCTGATATTGCTCAGCGACTCGAGAATCTTGGCTGGCTCTGCGGGTATACGCAGCCGGGGCGTGGCCAAGCCCACATCTCCCAGAGCCACCACAACGATGAACAGCAGACAAATGTATCTCATGGCGAACTTTTCTGGCCAACTGGCAGTTGGCAACTAACCGAAAGCATCCTGGCCACGGTCAGAAACTAGAACCAAGAACTATGCAGAACCGGCCGAAGAACCAGTAGAACCGGCTCCAGGAAAAGGTGAATGCCTCACCGAGAGAGAGATTTCTATGTAGCGAATTTTCTTTTAATCAATAAATATAAAACAGCTTGAGAATGTGATCTTCGACAGAGCCGAAGCCGGAATACTCTGGCAGAGAAGGTGGAACCTGGTATCTGGCGGGGGGATCTCAATGAATGAATATCTCAAGAAAGTCTTAAGCTTTTTTCTTTGCCAAAAAGCTGTTCTTTCGTTGGATATAAGTTTTGTTTTGTGTTGCAAAAGAAACAATGGGTTTTTGCCTGAGGAAAACCCATCTTTCGATCGACAGCAACTGCAAATGGCTCTCTACTGTGCCCAGCCTCGCCGGCCAGAGTATTTGAGGGCAGCGACTACTGAACCCACACAGAACTACTTGATCTTCTTGGTCTCCTGCTGGCAGAGGCAAGCCTGTTTGGTGAGATTCTTGATCCAGGTGCCGTAGCGATTCACGCGGGCATAGACACCAGGATAACCGGACTTGGCACAGCCCTCGCCCCAAGAGACAACACCGGCGATCTGATGCTCTCGCGTGCCGCTGGCCACAATGTGCAGCGGGCCGCCGCTGTCGCCCTGGCAGGAATCCTTGCCACCCTCGTCGTAGCCGCCGCACAGCATATTATCCGTTATTTTGTTCCCATAGCGACTCTTGCGGCACGCGTCCTGTGACAGGATGGGCACCTGTACCTCCTAGAGGGCATCAAAGATGCAGATTTTAGTGTCAGGGGAAGTCAGTCGCCGATCGGCAATCATGCTCTCACCTGCAGTGTGTCCGAGGTGGGGCCGCCAACCTTGAGGGCGCCCCAGCCAGTGACGATGCCCGTCTCCCCCTTGAAGCTTCTGCCCGGCGTGGGCATGCACACGGGATGCAGCACCTCATTGAACTGCACGGGCTCGTCCAGCTTTATGATGGCTATGTCGTTGTCGTAGTTGCGGGCATTGTACTTGGGATGCGTGATCACCTCCGCCACATTCCGGTCGATCTTCTGCGTGTGGGACATCTTGCGGTTGTGGTCCAGCAGACGCACGCTGATCCGCTCCCGCCGGAAACCGTACACACAGTGGGAGGCAGTGAGCAGGAACTGGTCGTTCAGCAGCGAGGCGGCGCAGTAGAAGCGACCGCCGTAGAGGAGCATCGCCACCCAGGGGTACTGGTGCACCTCCGTCTCCTGGCCACCGACAATCCGCTTCTGGATGTTGGCTATCCCGCAGACACAGTCCGTGCAGTTGCGTGGCGGACTCAGAGTGGGCGGCGCCTGGGTCGTGGCTCGCCTGGTGGTAGTGGTGCTGCTGGAGGAGGGCGCTGGCGTCGTCGAGGTGGTGGTGCTGCTGCTCGCCGGCTCTGGCTTCGTGGAGCTGCTACTCAGGGTGGCCAGCGTGGCGTTTTCGCCATCAGAACTGCCCGGACGTTGGGGCAGCAGCGAGAGAACCCATTGGATGAAGGTGTTCTGGGACTGCTTTAGCAGGGGCGACACCGGTGTGGCTTGCGGACGGGCTGGAGTTGGCTGCTCCGCGGCAAAGGTTTGGGCCAGGCCAAGGCCCAGCACCAGGCAGATCACTAGTCCAATCGAAGCTCTACTCATTTCACTGGAACTCTTTTTTTTTGCGGCTGTGGCTGTGGCTTTGCTTTGCTTTCTCCAGAGCGACACCACCGACTGCCGTGGCTAGTGGCGAACTGAACAGGCCGAAACGATATTTGAAAGCCAGCCAGCCCCATTTCACCCAAATTCCCATGGCCGAGCAACAAAAGTGGTTCTGGCCGGTGGCACGTCCACTTTGCCAATCCGCACAAAGCTCAGTCGATCGGCTTGGCCACTCTCGCACACTCAACCAGACAACGGGACAGACACCGAGACGGAGACGGAGACAGAGACAGAGAAAGAGAGATGGAGACACTCTCCGTTCCATGTGGATTTGCATTTGTATTCTGCGCATGCGTGGGCGCCTCGGGGCAGCCGCTTGACCAGCACCAACCACCAGACTCTCAGCCACTCTCAGCCACTCGCCACAAAACTCTACTTTTGGATTTTGTTTTATTTTTTGCGCCACTGAAGTAGCGAAAGTTTTTATTTGCCGCTTTAAAATTTATTGAAATTAATTTTTGTTTGTGCTTGTGTGTGTGATCCGATCGACGCATCGTAGTTTTACTTTCTTTTGATTTACATTATTGGGGCTATTCTACGTTGTTTGTTTTATTGGGTTATCGTTTGTTGCTGCTTTTCCTTAGTGTGTCGACCGACAACACAGTCAACACAGCCGAGGCACAAAACGAGGCATTTACACCATTTACGTGGTTTGCGTAGCAGATTCAACGATTCAACGACTCATCGATTGTGGCATACCCGTACGTACAAAATACAGGGTGATATACTCATTCTTCAGGTGCTTCAGACTCAGTTAGCGCAATAATTTCTTTCTATTTTAGAATATTATTTTGTATATTTTTATACACTCCCAGTTCTGTTGAGACTGGAAGGCAAGAGCAAAACTGCAATCGCCATAAAAGTGCACGCCCTGCAAAGACATGAACCTGTCTGGGAAGACTTTCCTTAGCGGGCAGTTGTGTGGGGAGATTAACGATGCAACCGACATGGTATCCGCACGTGTCCGGTCACGTCATGAGTCATATTGGTCATGGCCCTAAGTAGCCGTAGCCCCCACACATGCGAGGCTGTGGAGGCGGCGGCGCCGCCACTCGTGATGCTTCCGCTGCTGCTGCTGCGCCTGCGCTCCACAGATGAACAGCAATTGATGGATGAGTGGCTGGACTCCAGAGCGAACAGAGTGCAGGAGTGCAGTCTGGATGGGCAATCTCTTCAAGGAGCATGGAGCATGAAGCGTGGACCGTGGAGAGTCATTAGTATGCGCACACATAACACTTGGCATATTAATTGTTCGCGTAATGCTGTAGGCAGATGCATCAAGAGAGGAGAGGAGCTGCAGTTGGAAATGGAAGTTGGAGATGGAGTTGATGATGATGACGAACTAATGTCAGCTCGAGGACTGGTCATCGGGCAACGGGCACCGGCACTCATCATAGCCAGGCGGCCCATGCCCGACCGCAGTGTACGCAGTTAAAACAAAGTGCCATTTGCATAATGCCGGGGACTAGACAAAACCGAAGCGAAAAAAAAAACAAAACCCCACTACATGAACACTCCTCTCGTACATTTAAATGGGAGTGGACCAGAGTGTGTGTGTGTGGCGTTGGGTTATTTACGGGGATGTGCGATGAGGTAGAGGCAAAAGCAGACACCGCAGACCCAGACCTACCTGCCTGCCAGCCTGCACTTGGCGACGCAATTATGCAAGGCCCAGCCGGGGTCTGGGTCTGTTCTGTGGCAACGTGACCACCAACAAAGTTTTGCCTGCGACTGATTGGAGCTCTGCACTGGACACTGGACACTGCACACTGGACACAACCTGGGTCGTTGCCTTTGTTAAACACGATGGCAAAATATGTTAATTGGCATTGTAATATGCACATTAGATGTTGCCAACTACTAAGCGCTCATTAAACATGCCTCATGCTCGGCCAATTACCACAGGCAGGTCCATCAAAATAGCAGAGCGCAAAAAGGGTTGATAAGTGATAAATATGTGTATTCAGATCGGTAATCGGCTCTCCAGTAGGCTTTGGAATCCATTGTCACAGTCTGAGTAAAGTACAGAGCTCATTCCCCAGACAAACATCGGGCACTACAGATCTAAAACTGGGTGGGAAACACATTAATTTGTTTTCTCACTTAACAAAAAAAATATACATATTTGGTAGCTGAAAAAACGAAATTTCATTGGGTAACTATTTGGATTTGGATTTGCGCATTACCAAATCGAATTTAACCGTGGAATACTGTCCACAGTAACCATGGAGTCGTCCAACTCGAAGGGTAACTCCGACCAAATCCCATCCTGTGGCAGCAACTCCAGGCTGGAGACTCTGGATGCAGCTGCGAAGTCTGGGACGTGCCCCTGCCCTGGCGGCCAAGACGGATGCATCTGCTCCAATGGCATTTGCATGAAGGGCAAGTGCCCGAATGGCATCTGCCAGAGGAACCATCAGGGACCACCGCCTTCTGATTGAGCGCAGAGAGAAACCCTTGCAGAACCAGATACCCTCCCTCTCCCCAACTTTCATGTTCAGAATAGTTCCTTGAAACAGATTCAGATATGGTGCAAAATAGAGATACAAATAAAATTCCCGTTTTAAAACCGAGTTTTTGAGTTAATTTTGTAGCTTTAAGGATCAACTCGCAGCGGGGTAAACCACAAAAAAACAATTATGTACGAAATGGTAGAGGGTCGGACACGACACGACGTGACCTCTACTTTCCACCAGAACATGGCGCTGCGCATGTAAATGGAAAATTTTTGAACAGACAGTTGGGTGCGTGTAAAAAAGTTCACTTTTGATTTATGTGCACACAGAGTGGAAAGGTGTTGCAGAGGAATGGAAATATTCAAGAGACTGGACCTCCAGCCACCAGAATACCCGTGCAATAAATGACAAAAGCCATTGAGGCGAATAGGGGCGATATTGCAACATATTTGCATAGACAACCCCATTATGGGAATGAGGACCATTCAACCATTCAAACATTCAGACACCATGGGCCATAGCAGCGAATAGATTATGTTTTGCTATCCGTAGTGCTACGACTTGCCATAAAATTTTATCTGCCAAGTTAATTAAACCGGCAGTTAGCTGGCTGGAGCCAAACTATCACAGGGCCGTGGCTCCTGAAACAGCTCCTGTTCATTGGGAGTTGAAAATTTAATTAGTAATTCCATTTGCGCGTTCCATTTGCTTTTCATTTCGAATGGACTGCCCACCTCCATTCAGACTACAAAGTTTCGTTTGCAGCTGGTTAACCCGAAAAGGATTCGTGGGCAAAAAGCGAAACCAAAAAGAACTTTTGTCTGTCCCGTGAATGGGCGAAGAAGAAGAGGTGGCTAAGGTGATACCACAGACACGAATGTCTGGTTCCGTTTTGATCAAGAATTTCCGCACCTTTGACAGGGAACAGAGAAAAGCACAGAACTCTGGAAAATGCATTAAAAGCGCAACTCCATCGAAGGTCAAAACGAAGAAAAATTGTCGATGCTAAAAACTTTGCCCAACATGCAACAGTCATCATCATCATCCCCATCGTCGTCGCCGTAGCCGTCGTCGTCTTGCAAAGTTTCAAGTTGCAACCTACTGTTGGTAGTACTTTCAACACCAGCACGCGATTTCAGTTTTTATTTTCTTACACATACCGATTATGACTTGTACTTGTTGCAAGAGCTGCTAAAAAAAAAGAGTCGGTGAAAAAATGTAAATGATTTTTTGGGCATGCTCAACATACTTGCAATAATTTGCATGCGATTCTCGAGTGGCATGCAATGGAAGCGCCTCACGCAAGTCTCTCGCTACATGGCATATAATGGATTAATTACAGGGCTAATGCGAAGCCAGAGCCAGCGACAGGGACAGCACACAGCTAGCTATAGGATGAAATTGATCATCAGAAAATAAATTTCGGTTTTTATACCAGGCACTTCAATGTCCAATGAAACCAATTAGCCACCAGACTTTACTAACTTGCTCAAAATGATTATGGGCAGGGCAACAGAGGCAGCGAGTTACACGCTTAGGCACTTTAAGTGTTTTGCTTGAACAACCTGAAGAACAAACATAAAGGTTCCAACGAGAGTTGAGGTAGAAGCACTTGAAAACAGAAGAGGAAATGTGGATGGAAATGTGTATGGAAATGTGAACATTGAAAGGCATTTTTTAATGCTCTTGTAACCCGCATTCTCATTCCCATTCCCAGACTCCAATTGACACGCATCTTGATAACAAAAATCAATTTTCAATGGTAGAGGCAGGTGATTCAGATTTTGGATGGGAACTTGCCCTCATTCCTCTCTATCGTTTGCATATTTTATGCTCCCCTAACGACTCGTTAATTCGATGGGAATGGCATCGTAAAGAAGGCAACAAAACTGACCCAATATTACACATAATGGAAAAGAAATATAAATAAATTGGTGCCATAAAAATCTTGTTTGTTGACATATTTAAATAACGCAAAAATTGAATAATAAAATGGCCATTAAAGCCGGGCCATTAATGCTAACCAGTATGGGTTCATCGATGTGTTATATGGGGGGAAATATTCTAATTAGCTTAAATGACAATTCCGATTTGTCAAAACTGAAATGGAAAGACAATTGGAATTGTCTCATGTCAGCCGCAGAAGTTTGTTAATAATTTGAAGAGCATTATTAGAATAAATATAATTTTGAGTAGCTTATCAAATGTGGGTAAAATATTAGCATTCTGGCCTAATTAACAAGAATATTATTGGCCTGACTGCAACATTTGTTTAGATTTGATTTCCTCTCGATTGAAAATTTCCAAAGCTCCTGTGGCGATGTCTGTGGCTCCATTGATACTGCTACTCATTTGTCCACATACTAATTGAAATAATCATGCCAAAATGTATCTAATTTGTGGTCTTGTCCATTGTATACAATGACGAATATATGCCGCCTGATTCTGCAATGGAATTTGGTCCATCAGCATCCAGATGTGTGCACTGGTATTCGGTTGGGAATTTGCTGGTTCCGTGCGCATTTTCTTCATCAATGATTAATTGTTTTGACAATGTTGCAGCCATGTATTCGTACGCTTACCTCTGCCGCCGCAGCCCCCCCTCTCCTGTCTGGCTCACCCTGGTGGCATGGCATGGAACTCTGCCTCTGGTCCATGTCACATTTGTGGCCTGGCACTGACGAATGTCCCCAAATTGATGTATGATTTTGGCAGCATGGCCAAAATCCTTGACGGAAGAGCAGTTGCTACACACTCACCCTCTCTGTACGTTGTGGTACGTTGTGTGGAAGATTTAGTACAGAGCTTTGGCGGTTTTGTGGAGTAACATTTTTGGAAAGATATGAAATATCTCTCACCAAAGTTGTTGCACTTCGAAAAAGGAATTTGCGGTGGTTGTGATTGGATGAGTCGGATGAATTGATTTAAGTTTTTGAAGGTTCACTGAAGGTTCTAGTTAGGAGTGAAACACATGTAAGTTTTGGAACACAAAAATGTTATAAAATATTGGGTAGAACACGAACCAAGAACCCTTAATTTTACGGTCCAAACTGTGGTGTCTCCCTTAAACAAAGAAGAGCAAACCCCCTGGACAAGATCCATTTCTAAACCAGTTCTGTCACCCTCAGGCGCTGTCAGGGTACTTCGATTCGCTTTCGTTACCTACCGTTTCACACCTATTTTTTTTTGTTTGCTTGAAGTTTGCATTAGATAAATCTGCTGTGTCCGACCCACTTGGAGGTGTTTTCTCTGTTCATGCTTTTCCCTTTGGCGACGGGAAAACAAATTAAACTTAAAAATAAATAGATGGCAGAGACTGAAGATGGGTGCATTCGGGAAGGGGGGTGGGTGGTGGGTGTGGGCAACAGTTTAGCTTTAGTTGCTCGTAAAACTTTCACTTGACCCTTGTCAAGCCACTGGATGGGGGGGCGGGGCGATAGGTGGGTGGTGTGGGAGTGTTGTAATCAACAGAAAATTGGCACCAGTCAACACAGTCCCACCCCCCGGAAAGGACCTGCTATCTGTGTCAGTGTCAGCATCGTTTACTCTGAACATCCTTGGGGATCTGGGGGGTGGCTGGCTCCATTGACCAACTGACTTAGTCAGAGAGTCAGAGGGTTGTTCTACTTTGTTTCCGTTCTGTTCTGTTCGGGCTGATAAGTCTGCGAGTTCAATAAATCGTCGCCTTACCCCAAAAATATAGTTAGTAGATAGTTCAAGTCGTTTAGAGTGACTTAGAGCCGCCCTCGGCAGTTTAGACGTGGTAAAATCTAAACATATGACCCCATGTAATCGTTTGCCATTTACTTTATCATTTACCAAACATAAATTAGGACTGGGGGCAGTGCCTGGCGCGTGTTTTGCATTGCATTAAGTTGTAGAAGAGATTAATATATGTAGCACAAATGCTAATTAAGTGCAGTCCAGTGCAATGCAGAGAGCGAGAGGCGCCACATGCCAAATATTTGCCACACCTGACACCATAGCTGCAAGGAGTCAGCGGCACGTGAGGGTTAATTAAGCGGCAATCCAAATGCATTACATGTCCTAAGGCCCAGGTGTAGCATTCGCGCAAGTGGCCCATTCCGTCTGGAACGGATTACGTGACTTTCTGAAAGATCTTAAATTTTAAATCAAAACTTTGAGAAGTTCCCCTTAACCCTCTGTCAGGGCATTCAACCACCTCTAAGCTCCGCTCCCTTGGGCCGCCTGTCCAACTAACACACTTTTCCGCACCCCTTCCAGACCATTTTTCAAACGTTTTTCGCACTGACCGGTTTTGGGTCAGTCACCAGAAAAAATTGAGACATTTTCTTTGGAGCAAGTCATGCATTCCATTTCCTATTTACATTTATCTATCTCTCGCCAAAAAAAAAATATATATAAAGCGTGGCCAAAGAAATGAATTTAATAGAAAACCATGAAGCGACAGGGTTGTTGCCCCCTTTGGACAGGGCCAGGGCCGTCATTGTGGCGCCTGGCAACCCTATTGGCGCCACACAAAATTCCTCTCCGCATTGCGTTCTGTCCGTTTTTACAGCATGTGATTGCTTAATTTATTTGTATATATTTTTAAAGTTTCACACACATTTTGAAGGCATAATCGGCACTATCAGATACCAATAGTACTTGTATCAGTGTCAGTAAAAAAATGTAATTAATTTTCGTATTCGTTTTTCAGTTTACTTTGCTAGTTATTTAGCTAGCTGTCTGAATTCATAAAAGACTGATCCATGTTGCTATAAATTCACAAGAAACGCTATTCCAGGGTAGCCAATGCTTCGACCCTGAGTATCTCCCCAACGTTGCTCGTTTTTGTTAGGTTTTATATCTCTTTTGGGGCTGACCAAATGGTGCCAAGTAGTCGCTATGCGCCAAAAATAGTTAAACGTTTGCCAACTGCAATGTAAATTGGTTGCATTTCCGGGCTAGCGCTGCGTATGCATTAATAGAGCGGAAATAAAGATAGATATAATAGATATGTATAAAAGAGTAGATACAATTAATGCAAGATGCTGCTATAGCAATCCTATTATATAGATTAGCTTATATATAGCTAAATTAAAAGTATTTCTCGCGTTCTTCGTCCTCCAATTAAGTTTGGTTCTACGCAAAAAAAAGCGAGTAAAAATATTATCAAATGCACGTAACCATAAATCATTCGGCTTAAATCCCTGTAACAAATTTGTGTGCATGCAAATCAATTGTGCAATTGTTTCTATGAACAAATAAAATAAAAAATAAGCTTCATATACAGACAGTGGGCTAGGATCCAGGGCGTAGGGCCAGCAAACAAGTTGGAGGCCATAAATAAATATCGCTTAAGCCCAGAGACCAACATAGAATATAAATTTCCCCTCCCCCTCCCCCTGTTTGTAAAACAATCAACTTGATTTTGTAAAAAATTCAATTTAAATAATGCCGCGGCTCTATAAAAAGTATATATCTGTATCGCTATCCCAATGTTTTGTATGTCCTGTGGCTGAACAAATTCGATTGTCGGGGGGCTTAGTCGAATGCCAGATGTTTGTTTTTATTTTGAAGGTACCCCGTATTTGGTTGAATTATTTGATTGAGCAAACATAAATGTTTCTCCCAATTGAAACTCGTATATGAGACATCTCTACCCAACGTTGAACCTTTTAACCGTTATCAACATAAAGCACTTAAAAGTACTCTCATAATTTGCCCTTTTAAAAACATTTACTGCATCAGTTTCTCAAAGTTTTGCTTTTGTTCAGTTTGCTGGCTAAAATTAAATTAAATTTGCTGCTTGAGTTAATTTAATTTCCTTTGGACACGATGCGAGTCCAGCATACATATACAAATATGTACATTTGTGTATATAAATACATCAGAATAACTAAAGGAAAAAAGACACGTACGCACCTTAGACAGATACTGCCGATGCTGATGACGACGAGGGCACTGTCCCCGGTCCATGCCACATGTGTTGCAATTTTGCAATGTTGCCCATCTTCTGTCGAGGCTGTAGAGCAAATTGATGTGACAGTTGGCTGAGTGGGAAAGATGCAAACTGATGCGGAAATTACATCAATTTCCCTGGAAAAAAAAGGGGAAAGAATACCTTTGAGTACCGAGTTGAAACTTTAAATGTAAACGGTATGCATTTATTCCTTAATAATGTTGATGTTGCTGTTGTTCAAGCACTTCCAGATACCTTAAATATCGATATTAATATTCACTGTAGGGTTGCCGGCAGAGGGTTTAATGCTAGTTTTAATCCGGTTCATGGCTGCTTTAAAGACATTTCCACTCTCGCGAGGACCCAGCTGAATCGATTTAGTGGTTCGCACCTGTGGCGAGGGCCTTTTCCTGTTTTTTGGCGGATAGATGTCGAATGTGATGGCCAGATTTTCCGCGACCATCATGGTGGCGCCGGAATTTTCGAAAACCCCACAATAGTTGGACGCCGAGAAGATGGTGACCAGCTGGCGCTTGGCAAAGAACTCATAGCCATCCTCGACCACCTGATGGGCCCGACAGATCAGATCGAAGTCGTTGCGGATGAGAAACCGCTCGACCATGTCCCTTCCAAAGGACACACTCACGCCCCGCTTGTTGTACTTCCAGCCATAGGACGTCAGATGCGGATCGGACCACAGCAGGTCGCAGAGCAGGCCCTGGTTTGGTATTTCCGTGGGCCGTGGCAGCATGTTGATCTGCTCTATCGAGCGGAGGCAGGGACTCAGGCCGCCGTGGCAGCAGAAGATCCGCCCCGAGACGATCGCCGCCACTGGCATGCAGTTGTAGCAGTCGACGAAGGTCTTCCACAGCTTGGTCGTGTAGCGGCGCTTGCACTCGTCGAAGAAGCCGTAGACCCGGTTGAGCACCGCGCTCTCGTGGTTGCCGCGCAGCATGTACACGTTGTCCGGGTAGCGGAGCTTGTAGCAGAGCAGCAGCGTGATGGTCTCCACGGAACTGTGGCCGCGGTCCACGTAGTCGCCGAGGAAGAGGTAGCGCTGCAGCGGCGGATGGCCAGAGTTGTTCAGGATACGCAGCAGATCCTCGAACTGGCCGTGCAGATCGCCCACAATGCACAGGGGCGCATCCAGCCGCAGGCACATCTCCTCTCGCAGGAAGACACTGCGGCCCATCAGGCAGACGCTCTCTATGTCCCTTTGGCTAATCAGCCGACCCGCCTGCATTCTGCCCAACAAGAGTACTCGTATCATATCCTCGAGATTGGGCTTATAGAAATATAAGCTCATACTGAGTATGACAGACTCACAGGCTCACAGGCTCAAAGGCTCACCACAGGTACAGGTGTGTCGAAGGTATTTGTAGGTATATATATTGAAGTATCGGAGTACAATCCAGAGATTGAAGTGTAACAAAGAGAGAACTTGGTGTCAGTCAGCCCGTTAACATGGTCGGCGGTGCCCCCTCCACCATGGGTTTCTTCCTTTGATCTGGCTCGTGCTTCTTGGGCTTCATCACCACCAGCGTGATGTTGAGATCGGGATCGACGCACATCATGGCCCCCGCATTGTCGTACTCGCCGCAGTAGTTAACCGCCGAGAAGACGGTGATGAGCTGCCGCTTGGCAAAGAACTCGTACCCATCCTCGACCACCTGATGGGCACGGCAGACCAGATCAAAGTTGAATCGTGTGAGAAACGCCTCCACCTGCTCCACGCCAAAGGTGAAGCTCACGCCACGCGAGTTCTTTGCCCAGGTTGTGACGGTGGGGTCCGGATCGGCCCAGAGCAGGTCGCACAGCAGCCCATTCTGTTTGATCTCCACCGGCCGCTCCAGCTGGTATATGTCGGTCAGCTCGTGCAGCGACGGACTCAGTCCGCCGTGGCAGCAAAATATCTTCGAGTCAATCACAGCCGCCACAGGCAGGCAGTTGTAGCAGTCGACAAAGTTCTTCCACAGACGCACTGTGAAGCGGCGCTTGCACTCGTCGTAGAAGCCATAGTAGTGATTGATGCTGGCCGACTCGTGGTTGCCGCGCAGCAGGTGAACGCTGGTCGGATAGCGCACCTTGTAGGCCAGCAGGAGGGTCAGGGTCTCCACCGAGTGCTGGCCCCGGTCCACGTAATCGCCCAGCAGCAGGTAACGCTTGCTCGGCGGATGCCCCGATGTCTCAAAGTAGCGCAAAAGATCCCGAAACTGGCCGTGTATGTCCCCAAGAACATTGACGGGCGGCTGCACCGACAGCAGCATGGGCTCCGACAGCAGCACCTGGCGGGCCACATTCAGCATGGCCACCATATCCGGCTCCGGTATCGACAGCCGTTTGTCAGACTTCCAGTTCACCAGCGCAGTAATCATGTCGTCCAGCTTCTTGTGCAGCACTGATCGTTCCATGGGCACCAGTGTGCTCCCCTCGATCCAGGATTGCTTTTGTTCCTTGTTCTCAATGGGGCGTGGACAGTGTCTACAGTGTCAGTTCATTAAAATATAACAAAACATAAACGTATGTCACATGGTTACCCTCAATTGACAATGGTTTCGTCACATACATGATATTTTCTTAGCTGTCCCGGATATTGGAAAACTATTTTACAGCAGGGCAAAAAGCGACTGAGCAGAGACTCCAAGATGTGTAGCAGTCGTTTATTTCCCCTGCGATTGATCGTTCTATCAAATGAATCTGTTATTGTTATTATTTACTGGTGTGTTGTGTCATCTGCATCTGCAACCTGCATGCACCGGATCTTCGCACAATTGCTTCACCTCCAACTGTCAAATTGTTGTCTGCTGTTTGCCTTCAAATAAATAGTCAATTTTTTGAGAGACTGTTCGTTTTCACTCACACAAAGTACACATCTGATTGGGCCACCAAATGCCGAATGGCACTAACGCATGGCCCAGTGCCAAAATCAGCTTCTCGGGACTGCCACCGATGGTGGTGCAGAGCGAAAAGAGAGCCACCATACAGTCGCAGCCCAGCCAGGTGCGAAGCTCAGCATCCGAAGGAGACGGGCTGAATCTGACCGATCTGATCTACAGACTCAAGAATTTCCGTAAAAATAAGCAGGGACGCGTCAATATGCTCGAGGATGAGCTCTACAAGCTAACCAGCATGGCACGCGAGATGTTCCTGGACCAGCCAATGCTCCTGACTGTCGATGCACCGGTGCGTATTGTGGGCGACATTCACGGACAATTTGTGGACCTGCTGCGCATCTTCGATCACATCGGCTATCCGCCTGGGGTCAACTATCTGTTTCTCGGGGACTATGTGGACCGGGGCCAGAACTCGATCGAGACGATCACCCTGCTGCTGGCACTGCGGGTCAAGTATCCCGAGAATGTGTTCCTGCTGCGCGGCAACCACGAGTCGCCAGCGGTGAATCGCGTGTACGGCTTCTTCGACGAGTGCAAGCGACGCTTTACGGTCAAGCTGTGGAAGAGCTTCGTCGACTGCTACAACTGCATGCCCGTTGCGGCTATTATCGCCAAGCGAATCTTCTGCTGCCACGGCGGCCTGAGCCCACAGCTAAAGGACCTGAGCAACATCAAGGCCATACCACGGCCCTGCGATGTGCCCGACCAGGGTCTGCTCTGCGATCTGCTGTGGAGCGACCCGGATCGGTACGGCTTCGGCTGGTCGCCGAGTGATCGGGGTGTGAGCTATCTCTTTGGCCGGGATGTGCTCGAGAAGTTCCTGCAGAAGTACGACTTCGATCTGATCTGTCGAGCCCATCAGGTGGTCGAGGATGGCTATGAGTTTTTCGCAAAGCGCCAGCTGGTCACCGTCTTCTCGGCGCCCAACTACTGTGGCCAGTACGACAATGCGGGTGCCTCGATGGGGGTGGACAAGGATCTGATGATCTCGTTCGATGTGCAGCGGCCCGGTTCGGGTCGCAAGGTTCAAATAAAGACTGTGATTGCCTCGGCCATCAGGTGACTTTGTCTCAGGCCGAGGCAGGCTTCGATGGGATTGTCATATTAAATGTTTCCATCCGAAAACCGTTCGATTTCTAGAGCAGCAAAATTAACTTTAAGTTGTGCGCTTGATCGACGCCATAGCAGAGCAACAGGAAATGTCAGCGTCAGCCGGAACGGCTCCGGCTGTGGCTGCGGCGGATGTGGGCAACATTGATCAGCTGATACTGCGGATAATCGATGTGCGACGCATTAAGCAGCTCAATCTGTCGGAGTCCGATATTCGGGGCATCTGCCTGCGATCGCGGGATGTCTTCCTCTCGCAGCCCATGCTGCTGGAGCTGTCCGCCCCCGTGAAGATCTGCGGCGACATTCACGGCCAGTTCACGGACCTGCTGCGTCTGTTCGACTACGGCGGCTATCCGCCGTCCTCCAACTATCTGTTTCTCGGCGACTACGTGGATCGCGGCAAGCAGTCCATCGAAACGCTCTGTCTGCTGCTGGCCTACAAGATCAAGTTCCCGGAGAACTTCTTCCTGCTGCGTGGCAACCATGAGAGCGCCGGCATCAATCGCATCTACGGCTTCTTCGACGAGTGCAAGCGCCGCTACACGATCAAGCTGTGGCGCACCTTCGTCGACTGCTACAACTGCATGCCAGTGGCGGCGATCGTGGACGAGAAGATATTCTGCTGCCACGGCGGCCTCAGTCCCGATCTGCTCAACATGAACCAGGTCTCGCAGCTCAGCCGGCCCTGCGATGTGCCCGACAAGGGGCTGCTCTGTGATCTGCTGTGGTCCGATCCGGATCCCAAGATCATGGGCTGGAGCGACAACGATCGCGGTGTCAGTGTCACCTTTGGCGCCGATATTGTTGGCAAGTTTGTGCATCGCCACAAATTCGATCTGATCTGTCGGGCCCATCAGGTGGTCGAGGATGGCTACGAGTTCTTTGCCAAGCGGCAGCTAATCACCATCTTCTCGGCGCCCAACTACTGCGGGGAGTTCGATAATGCCGGCGCCATGATGTCTGTCGATGAGACGCTAATGTGCTCCTTCTATGTCCTCAAGCCCTCCAAGAAGGCCGGCATGCGTAAGGTTCATTCAAAGGGATGAACGGATGAACTCACAACTAAAGGCACTCGGATATCGAATATTGTGGCATGCTGTGTTGTGCTGTTGTGTCGTTTTGAACCGTGTTGTATACAAATTGGTTGTTAAAAATACTTTTGTACAAGTGTATTTGTGTTATTTGTGGCTGATTCGACAGCTTGGCACAGACGAAGATTGAGGGTTAACCCCCTCGAGAACCGCGCCCGCACACTGTGATATTGCAATTAATTTCTCATTGGTCTGGCACTCAAACATTTTAATCAAATGACAAAACCCCGAAAATAATTTATTTTGTAGCACAAAATTTACAGCGCACGAGTAGCTCGCTCCCCGGAATGGTTTATTAAATTTTTGGTTCGCTCGGCCAGCGACAGGCCCGAAAACCAGAAACAGGCCCCAGAAACGGCTTTGTGGTGCAGTTGTCGTTGGTGCTGGTAGCTGGTTGCAAGACCCAACCAATCCAATGCACTCCAATCCAGTCAGCAGTTGGCAGTTGCCAGTCGGCAGTTGGCGAACTAATAGATTTTAAATGTGGCTGTCGCTGTCAGCAACAAGAGTTGCGGATGTGTGGGGCGGAGGGGCGGTGGGGCGGTGGGGTGAGGCAAAGGACCGGCTGCGCTGCTAGGCGACGTGATAAATGCAGCTAAATAAATTGGTCAACGGGCAGGCGGTTGGGTTAACAGACAATTTGTTGTGACAGCTGCATGGAGATATCAACTGAAACAACAACAGCAGCAGCAGCAGCAGCAGAGGCAGAGGCAGATGCAGTAAAGTTATCAATGAGAGGGCCAGAGGTGAATTTCAAAACATTGAAGGTGTAAAATGGTTCGATGCCTCGTATCAAAATGTGGGAATCGTTTTAAGGCAGCAGTAAAAACATTTTGCACTATCAAAATAATCAAATAAATAAATTGTTGGCAGAAAAATAAATCTATCCAAACTAAAGCTGATATATGTATGTATATGATATCCCGTATATATGTTTAAAATAAAAGTAATTTAAATGTTACGATGCGAAGGACCAATATAGTCTTTGTTCTAGTTTATATAAAAATCAGGGCGAATGGTAATTGAATGGTAGAAATGGAAAAAAATATACTGATCTGTAGCCTACACGCCATCTAATCAGAGATTGGGATATACAGCAGTATCATCCCCAAGCAGTCATTGTTGGCTCTTGCTGTCCGCTTTAAATCTGATCTATGCTCTGAGCACTCAATCACTCAATCAATTGCTGGCAGAGCGCTCCCAATAAGTTCATTTATTTCCCATTACATTTGAGATGCCCATGCGAGCCCGAGCCTCGTTTCTTACAGCTCCGCCGCCCACACATCATGCGTGGCTTGGTATTGTGTAATTTGCCATTAAATCGTTGTCAGCCATTTAATTGCTGGCCATAAATCTAAAACGCAATTGTTTATCGCTGGCACTGGCAAAGACCCGCTCCGTACAGAGTGACCGGCCAAATGCCAGCAATTAAAACCAAATCAAATTGCCTTGCGACAAGTCTTTCGGGCCACAGAAAGTTGTTTCAGTCTTCGCCATCAACCGATGGAGTCCGAGTCCAACCGATGGATGGAGTTTGTGGTGAGCGAGGGAGACCTAATCTTGATGGCAATTTCAAATGACAAAACTGTACGGCAGGCGATTAGCCAAACGGACAAATCTGCCCGAATAAGTGGGAGTGGGAGTGTGGGAGCCACGACTACTCCTTGCTGGATTCATTTTGTATTTGGGCAACTTAGCAAATTTCAATTTGCTTTAAACTACGCACCGAAGAAAGGCCAAGCCAAAGGAACGCATTTTGCATTTGCATTTTATTTCCAATGGCTGCCTTTTGCAATTTCTTGGAAACTTTTTCTTTTTGTGTGTGTTTTTTTGTTTAGTTTTTGCGTGCCATTGTTTCTGGGATTTTGCGATGGGAGTTTGAGGAGCGAGCAGGCAATTTCACTTTTTAACTTTATTCGAGCGAAAAATTGACGTGGAAAAACGTTGGCAAAGCTGGTAGCTGGTAGGTGGTAGGTGGGGGAGAGGCCATCTGTCTGTCTGTAGCTCTAAAGAGTTCGAAACTAGACAGGCGTTAAGGCAACCAAAACACAGGAACGGAGTGCAGACATGGGAAAAAATGCAGCCAGACGGCTAGAGATGAGTGTAAGAATGCCAGAACAAACCCCAAAATAATTAAGATACTCTTAAACGCAGATCTAAAGATGCCCCAATCCGTTCTGCTTAAATAAAATATCCCTAGGCGAGAGTGTAACCAAATAAATTGATCCCTATACGCAGTATAGTTTGAACTTTTTATGAGCCAACACATTCGCTCACTTTTATTGTTTAAAATTTTCGTTTGGTTTATTTACAAATCGGTTTGTTGATCGATCGATCGAAGATCTGTGCGCGGGGGCTGGGGCATAGCAATCTAATTATGTAAGCATATTCTAGTCTATAAAGCTAACTAAATGTACATGCAGCAGGGCGATCACATCTCTCGGGGAATGGCAGGCTATCGCAGCATGCTGATGGCCCACACAAAGATGAGGGTCAGACCCAGACCCATGCCCGAGAGATGGCCCGCTGCGCCGGGCAGATTGGCCGTGTTGCAGCCATCCGTCTGGCAGACCTCGCAATAGTCATCGTTGGTGATCACGCACTGGACTTCACTGGCACATCCGCGGATGAGATAGCCATCAAAGTCCTTGGCCGAGACACAGCTATCGGCGGCGTCGTAGATGGGACAAACGGCCAGGTAATTGGGATCCACGGAGCAGTCCAATTGTGCGGCAGAGTTGCAGATGTGGCAGCGGCGACGGCTGGCGGGGAAGATCCCAGTGTTGCACTTGTTGCCGGAGCAGACGGAGCAGCTGCCGTTGGCCTCACAGGCGGCGCCCTCGGTGTTGCTCAGAGCGCTCTGGCAGCCTCTGATCGTGTGTCCGTTCTCCAGACGGGCGACGCACTTCGAGTTGGGCGCGTGGCACGTGAGGGTGGTGTTCACAGCTTCCGGATCTTGGGCACACGCCAACGTCTTGCTGGAGTCGCAGGACACGCACTCATCGTCCTCGGGCAGGCGGTTCAGATCGTTGCACTCCTTGCCGGTGCAGGTCCACAGCTGGTTGGCCTCCTGCCACTCCTCGAGGCTGGTGCTGTTCTGGCTGCTGGCGCAGCCCATCAGCTCCACGGCCCCGGCGTTGTACTTGGCAAAGCAGTAGTCCTTCGTGACGTAGGGCACACAGAACTCGGCGCGGCTGCTCGTGCAGGCGGCGTCCACGCAGATGTGGCAACTGAGCCGATCCGCGGGATAGGCGAAGGTGTTGCAGCTTTCCGCCGCGCAGACGGCACAGTTGGTGCCGCTCTCATCGCTGCTGCAGTCAACACGATCGTAGAGCTCCTTGTCGTCCAGACAACTGCGGATGAGGTGCTCGCCATGCAGTGCCACCAGGCACTGGCCCTTGCACTGTCGTCTTGCCAAGTCGCTCTCCGTGGGATCCGTGATGCATGTCGCATTCGTCTCCGAGTTGCAGTAAACGCAGCTGACAAACTCGTCGGTGTTCCAGGCATCGTTGCACTCGTTGGACTTGCAGATGGGGCACAGTTCGGGATTGTGGCGACAGTAGCGATCCTCGTAGTCGTCCACATCATCCGAGCAGCCGCGTCGACGGACGGTCACTCCATCCGCCTCGAATACGGTCTTGCAGTCCTGCTCGATGTTCAGGTTACAGGTGACAGCCGGTCCCAGCGAACTGATGCAGTGCTCGCCCGCGCACGTGTGACACTTGAGCGGCAGCTCCTGGTAGTAGCCATGCTGGCCATCATCCTGCCGATTGGCCAGATCGATGGCATTGCACTCGCTGCCCACACAGCTGCGGCAGTTGCGGAAGTCGCTCAGATCACAGTCGAGGCCGCTGATGCTGCTGCTGCTGCTGCAGCCGCGTGTGGTCACATTTCCGTTGGTCAGGGAGGTCTTGCACGTCTCCGCATCGCTGACCCAGGCACAGGCCAAGGCGTAGGTGGGGTTCGACTCGCAGTAGGAATCGTCCTCAGAGGTGCATGTGTAGCACACTTGACGATCGGCCGGGAACACCTGAAACATCCGAATGATTAGTACTTTCTGCCGGGATTTATCCGGGTATTCGGGCTACTTCTCGGTTGCAGCCATCCGTTGAGCAGACAGAACAGTTGGCATCGCTGCCCAGCAGACAAGCGGCAAAGTCAGACTGCGACAGATCGTACAGACATCCTCTGGAGGTGGAACCATCTGCCAGAGGAGGAGGAGAACAAAGATTAGCATTAAAACTGAATTCATATGCGGCTTATACTTGCCACTTAGCAGGCGTGTGGCACAGCCCGTGTGGGGCAGCTGGCTGCAGGTGTCAAAGCTGCCGATGGCCTGGGCATTGGTGGCACAGGTGGGATCCTCGCGAGAGTCGCATACGGCACATTGCACGGGCACCGGCAGCTGGGGGGCATTGCAGTTGGCGCCCTCGCAGACGGCAATGCGCTTGGTCTTGATGACACTTTCCAGATCTTGGTTGCGGAAAGAGCTCAGACAGCCCAGCTGCTGGATGCTGTTGTCCTCGTCCATCCACAGGAAGCAGCTGTCATTGGACTTGTAGATGGCGCACAGCTTGGGCGAGGGATCCTCGCAGTCGTCGCCGGTGCAGGTGTAGCAGCTGAGGCGATCCTCCGGCAGGGTCTGCACATTGCACGAGTCTTCGCTGCAGGCGGCACAGGCGGAATCCCCGCCCGCCGAGCAGCTCAGCCGATCGGTCTCTTCCTTGTCATCCAAACAGGTGCGGATGAGGTCGAGTCCGGAGTCAGAGCTGCCGTACAGGGCACTCATGCAGCCGCCCTGGCACTGGCGCGTCCTGTGGCCCGCACTGAGCGGCTCCCACAGGCAGCTGGCATCCTTGAAGGAGTCGCAGTAGATGCAGGTCTGGTACTGGCTCAGAGCGGTGGCATTGTTGCAGTTGTTGGACTTGCAAGAGGGGCAGCTGGCCGCGCTGGCGGCACAGTAGGTGGCGACGCTGGCATTCGCTTCGACCGCGTCGTGGCAGCCGCGTTGGGTGACCACGCCGTCGGCTCCAAAGACCGTGAGGCAGTCCTGCTCGTTGTTGCCCTGGCACTTGACACTCGGAATGGTCGCCTGCTGGCAGGCGGCTTCCTCGCAGCTCAGACAGCTCAGCGGCAGATCCTGCCACTTGCCATGGTTGTCGTCGGCCTTGGCGGCCAGATCCACCTGATTGCAGCCATCACCATCGCAGTAGACGCACGACTTGGAGTCCGCCTCGCAACTGAGCGAGGTGGAGCAGGCCCTGTAGGTCACGCCGTTGCGCAGATTGGTCACACACTGATCCTCCGCCTCGTACAGGTAGCACACGGTTAGACTGCTCGGCGCCGAGGCGCAGTTGGCGTCAGTTTCCGAGTTGCACACGTGGCAGGAGCGGCGATCGGCGGGATACACCGCCGTGTTGCATGCGTCACCCTGGCACGAGCTGCAGCTGGCGGAGGTGCCGTTGTAACAGGAAAGGAACTCATCCTCCTCCAGGCTGGACAGGCAGCCACGCTCGGTGCTGCCGTCGGCCAGGACACGCGAGTAGCACTCGGGCAGACCCGCCAGCTCGCAGCTGGTGGCACTGGTCACGCTGCCGGGCGCAATGGCACAGCTGGCGTCCGTGCGGGAGCTGCAGAGAGCACAGGTGTGGGCCTCCGGCAGAGACTCAATGCTGTTGCAGTCCTCCTCGCTGCACGTGAGCAGCCGCTTGGCGCGCTGCAGCTGGTAGATATCCGCGTGGCTGAACTCGCTCAGGCAGCCGAGGGCGATGATGGAGCGCTGCTCATCGAACTGGATGTAGCACTGGTCGTTCTCCCTGTAGTTGGCGCAGGTGGCGGACTGCGGCTCCTGACAACCGTCGCCCTGGCAGACCAGGCAGCTCTGCCGCGAGGCCACCAGATCCTCCGTGTTGCACTTCTCCCCATCGCAGGTGGCGCAGAATTGTTTGTTGCCGGTCTTGCATGCGTCGCGGTCCTCCTTCTCCAGATCGTCGTAGCAGTTGCGCACCAGAGCGTAGCTGGGATCCGTCGTCTCGCCAAACAGAGGCAGGAAGGCGGACACACAGCTCTCGTGGCACTGGCGCGTCCTGCCGATGGAGGCGGGCGCCGCCAGGCACGTGGAATTCTGGCTGGAGTCACAGACCAGGCACTCGACATACGAGTCCTGGCTGCTGGCCACGTTGCAGCCGTTGGAGTTGCAGCGGGGACACTTGGCGGGCTGCTCCTCGCAGTAGGTGGATGCCTCGAATACCTTCTCGGAGCATCCACGCTCGGTCACGGCTCCGCTGGCGTCGAACACCGTCACACAGTTGTCGTAGCTGGTGCAGGTCTCGAGGCTGCCGCCAGAGGTGGCGGCGCACTCTGTGGCGCCGGAGCAGGCCAGACAGCTGATGGGCACCTCCTGCCAGGTGCCGGGGAAGCCATCCTGATTGATCAGCTCCAAGTCGATGGTGTTGCATCCGTTGGCGCCGCTGCAGATGCGGCACGTGCGCGAGTCACTGGGATCCGTGCAGCTCACACTGGACGAACAGCCCCTGTGTGTGACGCCATCGCGCAGGGCCGTCACGCAGGTATCCCCATCCGCATAGACGGGGCACACGGTGCTGCTGCTGCTGCTGCCTGGAGACGAGGCGCAGCTGGGATCGCTGGCGGAGTCGCACTGATAGCAGCTGCGACGATCCGCGGGGAAGACAGACAGCCCGTTGCAGTTGGTGCCGGTGCAGGTGGCGCAGAGTCCGCCGTGGGTGCCGGTGAGGCAGCCGTAGAAGTCATCGCTGCCGAGGCTGGAGAGGCAGCCGCGGACGGTTGTGCCCTGGGAATCGATGTGGGTGACGCACTCCGTGTAGGGCTGGTCGGCGCACATGGTCGTGTTCAGCAGCTGGTTGGGATTGGTGGCGCAGCGCGGGTCCACCAGGGAGTTGCACTGCAGACAGCTGTTCGGATCGGGAATGATGTCGTAGAAGTTGCAGTTGCTGCCGGAGCACAGGAACATGAGCTTCTGGGCCACCAGCTCCTGGATGACCTGCGTCTCGAAGTCGCTGGCACAGCCCATGGCCACCACGTCGCCCGAGTTGAAGGCGAGGTAGCATTGATCGTCGGGCCGGTAGGCCAGGCACTTGGTCGTGATCGGATCCTCGCAGTAGGAGTCGCCGCAGATGTAGCACTCCTGGGGGTTTGCGATGATGTCGCCGCCGTTGCAGCGGGCTCCCGCACAGGACTTGCAATTGTCGTGGCTGCCCGCGGCGCAGGTGGTGCGCTCCGCTTCGTTGAGATCGTCCAGACAGCCGCGGATCGGCAGCAGAGCCGAGTCGGCGGCGGAGCTGCGCGGATACAGGCCGGTCATGCACTGACCCTGGCACTTCCTGGTGCTCGTGGGCGTCTCCCAGGCGCAGGAGGAGTCCTCATCCGCGTCGCAGAAGTAGCAGTCCACGTAGGAGTCCAGACTGAGGGCGTTGTTGCAACCGTCCGACTTGCACTGCGGACAGCTGTCCCGGTTCAGATCGCAGTAGTCCGCATTGGCGGACAGCACCGAGTCGCTGCATCCCCTGGCCGCCACCTGACCCTGCGCATTGAACACTGTGGCGCAGGTCTGCTTGTTGTTGCCCTGGCACTGGGTGGGCGCCGCGCCCACCGCAGCACAGCTGGCGGTATCGTTGCACACGTGGCAGCTCAGTGGCAGATCCTGCCACTTGCCGGGCTCGCCCACATATCCGGCCTGCAGGTCCACATCGTTGCAGTTCGCCTCGGCGCAGATGCGACAGCTGCCCGCCTGACTCTCCTCGCATCTGATCTCCGACTGGCAGCCGCGTCGCGTGCGACCCTTGGCCAGACTGGTGACGCAGGCGTCGTCCTTGTCGTAGGTGCGACAGTAGCTGCCGTAGCCGGCGGGTGCCGTGGCACAGTTGGCATCGCTGCTGGAGTCGCAGCGCAGGCACTGCAGCCAGTCCGTGGGATACACCACCGAGTTGCAGTCGTTGGTGCCGCAGATCTGGCAGCTGCTGCTGTTGCCGCTGGAGCACTCGTCAAAGAGCTCGTCATCCGTGTCCATCAGGCAGCCGCGGTTCAGGACGCCATCTGGGGATACAACAGAGTTTAACGGGATGTTCAACCAGAGGGATTGCCTCAATTACCTTCGTTGATGTGGCTGTAACATTCCGGATTGATGTAATGCTGACAGACAGCCGCCGCTACGGGTGCATCACCAGCCACACAGCCAGCGTCGCCGGTGGAGTTGCAAATGTTGCAGGACACACCGACGGTATTGAGCTTGTCCTTGGTGTTGCAGTTGTCGCCGGAGCACAGCAACAGATCGCGGCGATTGGCCAGCAGGAATGCGTCCTCCAGATCTGAGGCACAGCCCATATTCTCGATGCTGAGGTCGCCCACATGAATGTAGCACTGATCGGCGGCCCGGTAGCCGAGGCACTGCTGACTGACGGTGTCCGCACAGTCGGATCCCACACAGAAATTGCAGCTGAGGCGATCGGCGGGCACATCGGGATTGTTGCAATTGGCGCCCGAGCAGGCCACACAGTGGTCCAGGGTGCCGCCGGTGCAGGCCAAGCGATCGTCGTACTCCAGATCGTCCAGACAGCCGCGGGCCAGATCGAGTATGGCATTGGCCTCCGAGCTGCGCGGATAGAGGCCGGTGAAGCAGCTGCCCTGGCAGGAGATGCTCCTCGTCACGTCGCTCACATTGCGTACGCACTCCGCCTGATCGGCGCCATCGCACAGGAGACAGTCCACGTAGCTGTCCAGCTGCCTGGCATCGTTGCAGGCCGTCGACTTGCAGAACTTGCACCGGCCGGGCTGCTCGTCGCAGTACTGGGTGAGGTCCGCGTCCGCGTACAGCTCATCCGTGCAGCCGCGATGCACCACCAGACCCGCACTGTCGAAGACCGTGTCACAGTTCTGGGCGACATTGTCGACGCACTTCTTCAGCGAACCCAGGCTGGTGCCCTGGCACTCGGTGCCGTTGCAGGTGTAGCAGTTGACGGGCGGCGTGGCCCATTTGCCGGGATAGCCAATGTAGGAGCTCTCCAGATCCACCACGTTGCAGTTGTCCTTGCCGGCGCAGAGGCGACAGTGCTGCTTGTCCGAGTCATCGCAAGTGAACTCCCGCTGGCAGCCGCGATAGGTCTCCCCGTTCACCAGCTTGGCGCTGCAGCCCTCATCCACCAGATAGAAGGGACAGACGCTGGCCGCATTCGGAGCGGACGAGCAGCTGGGATCCGTGACAGAGTCGCAGCGCTGGCACTGGCGACGATCGGCGGGATAGATGGCCGTGTTGCAGAGATCGCCCTCGCAGACTTCGCAGGTGCCGTTGCCCGCCAGACAGGCGGTCAGCTGCTGGCGTGGCAGGCTGCTCACACAGCCGCGTTGTGTGATGCCATCTAGAAGGAAGGGCGGGGCAAAGGGAAATGCTTTAATTTCTCAGAGCTCTGAACTGAACTGGACTGGCTGGCTCACTCACTTGTCACACGCTTCATGCAGCTGGTGTAGGGCAGGACGCCGCAGGTGCCGATCTGTGTGACCTTGCTGGGATCCACGGCGCAGTTGGCATCCTCCGAGGAGTCGCACGACAAGCACCTGGTGGCCGTGGGCAGATTGTCGAAGAAGTTGCAGTTGGTCTCGTTGCATAAAAGCAGCGAGTAGAAGTTGTCGTCTACGAATGTCTCCTCCTGGTCGGACACACAGCCCATGGATGTGATGTCGCCATTATCCTGGTCGAACAGGATGTAGCACTGCTCCTCGGGATCGTATTGACTGCACTGCGTGGCACTGGGATCGGCACAGTCATCGCTGGAGACACACTGGTAGCAGCTGAGCGATTCCTCAACTAGCTGCGCCACGTTGCAGTCGGCTGTGTCGCATGCCACACAGTCACTGTCCTCGCCGTTGATGCATCGCTGCTGATCGGCCTCGTCCTTGTCGTCCAGGCAGCCGCGCACAGTGTCGTAGATGGTGTTCTGGCTGGAGCGGGCTCTCAGGGCAGTCATGCACTGACCATTGCAGCTGCGTCTGGCCACAACGGCCGCTGGATTGCGGGCACAGTCGGCGTTCTCGGCATCGCAGTAGATGCACTCTCTGTAGCTGTCCAGGGATCTGGCCTTGTTGCAGCCATTGGAGTTGCAGTTGTGGCAGCTGCCGCCATTGGCATCGCAGTACACACTGAAGGACTCCTCCAGCACCTGGCTGCAGCCCCGAGCGCTGACCACACCCGTCGCATCGAAGATGGTCATGCAGTACTCCGCCTCGGTGGCGCAGGATACCTCCTCGATGGTGCTGGCCGCACACGCAGCGGTGTCCAGGCAGGTCTGGCAGCTGAGCGGCAGCTCCTGCTGCCAGGGTCCCGGATCGCCGTCTTCCAGACGCTTTAGATTGACCTTGTTGCAATCAGGGCCAGAGCAGAGCTGGCACTTCTGCGGCTTCTTCGAGTCGCACTCGAGCGAGGCACTGCAGCCGCGCTGGGTGTTACCCGCCGGATCCAGGCTGGTCACGCACTGCTGGCTGTCGGTGTGCAGCAGGCAGAGGGCAGCGGAGGCTGGCAAGGCCTCGCATTCGGCGTCCTTGCTGGAGTCGCAGGTCTGACAGCTCAGGCGCTCGGTGGGCTGCAGCTGTTAGGGACAGGCATAACGCGGTTAGAGAGATATTCCCAAGCAAGAGCAGGACTTGCTATATTCACCTTGAGGTTGCAGTTCTCTCCGGAGCACTTGGCGCACTGCGTGGTGTTGCCCTCGCGCAGGCAATCCAGATACTCCTCCCCCTCGAGACTCGCCAGGCAGCCGCGTTCCGTGTGTCCGTTATCCAGAATCCTGGCGTAGCAGTCCGTGTTCACCGCATTCTCGCACTCCACCTCGGACTCTACCTGGTCCGGATCGACGGCACAGTCGGCATCAGTGTGTGAACTGCAGAGTTTGCAGCTCTGGGGCGTGGGCAGGGCGGTGGCCACATTGCAGTTGTCCGCCCCGGAGCAGTACCAGAGGCGTTTGCTCTCCTCCAGCAGCTGCACATCGCTGACATTGAACTGGGTGAGGCAGCCCTGGGCCGTGCGCGTCCCACTCTCGTCAAACTCGATGAAGCAGTGCTCCACGTCATCGTCGGCGGGAACGGCGCGGCAGGTCTGGGGCTGGGGATTGGAGCAGTCGCCGCGGCAGGTGTTACAGCTGCCTCGGACGCCCAGCTCCACCTGGTTGCAGCTGGCTCCCGTGCAGGCAACACAATTCGGAAAGGCTCCCTCGGCACAGGCCTCGCGATCATCGTAGTCCAGATCGTCCAGGCAGGTGCGCACGAGCTCCAGGGGCGCCTTGGCATCGCTGGTGGTCGGATACAGCGCCGTGATGCACTGCTGGTTGCATCGTCGCCGATTCTTCACTAGCTCAATGTCAAAGACGCAGTTATCGTCGCTCTGGGCGTCACAGTACACGCAATCGACCAGCTCCGAGTCGGTCTGGAGGCTGTTGCAGCCACTGGAGCGGCACTGGTAGCACTTGTCCTGATCCGCCGAGCAACTCGTCACCAGGTTGTCGCTGCAGCCGCGCTGCACCACAGCGCCGTCGCTGTCGAAGATGGCCACACAGCTCTGGGCATCGTTGTCGAGGCACTTGCGCAGTGTGCCAGAGCTGGCGGAGCATTCCGCCAGGCTGTCGCATTCGTAGCAGTTTATGGGGCCCGAATGCCAATTGTGGACAAAGGGATCTGCAAAATTACCTTGGTTAAAACTTTCAGATGCAAGGCTTTAGGCTGGCCCCAAACTAATCAAATTCCAGCGAAAATCAATGCACATAAATGCCAAAAATGTTATCAGCACGCGGCTTGTTACGTATTCGCAGTGTTTATGGCCCTTTCGGCCATCGAATTAGTTGGATATTTATGGGTACGAGTATATGGGATGTTGCCGCTGCCGTAGCGACAGCGCCACGATCTGCTCCGGCACGAGCGTGGCTGGCTTCCTTATCGCCACAATAAATTAGTAATTGCCTTTGGAGGCCCATAAAATGTCAATTGAATGGCGATCGTCTCACAATCTATATGGCACTCGTATTTAGATGCAAGTAAGCAGTCGAATGTCGTCCAAATTGGTGTGTGGAAAAGTGAAAATGTGAAATTTCGGTTTCCCTCTACATTAGTAAGGAATTACTTTATGCATTATGTAACTTCTTAGTGAAAATAACTCCACGCAGCAAATAGAACATAACCAATGAGTGCTTTAAGAGCTTTCAGACTCAACTAAATTTGCTGACGTCAACGCATAGCATGGGAAATTCCAATATACCGTTTGCCGTTCTCTAATCATGTTGGAAATACTAGTAAAAAGTTGCTTTTAAATTGGGAAATTTACAGGAAATTAAAGCTGCATATAGCCCAAGCTTATTCGGAGTATAATTTTTTGGCAGTGATTCCAGTAACAAGTGAAGTGAAAAATTAATTCTTCTAGCTATAAAGTTACGTTGAAATTTCATTTTAAATTCTCATATAAAAGGGGAATTTATTTGAAGCGCCTTCAACGAACCCTTTAAAGTTGTGTTTGGTATGAGATATTTTCAAGAGCTGTGAGCCACATTATCGCACATTAAAAAGTTCGCACACTTCAAGATTTATGTATACTCGTAGAAATTTCTGTTCAAAGTCCACGGCAATTTTAATCGTTCACAAAATCCACTTAATCCATTTAAATCAAGAGCACTCGAAGCTCCGAGTGCTACAACAAAACCGATATGGCAGCTATCCTCTAATGAGGAAATGAAAGGGCTGGAATACATGCGAAAGCTTTTCCCCACATCTTATCAAAATTGGACATACATATGTCATGTATGTCATCGTGAATTAGTTTACTTTATTGCAAAGATAAAGCCTTAATAGAGCCATATAGAGCACATGACGCATAAATGTCAGTGGCGGTTCCTTTTAGTTTCTGCTTTAGTGGGGGAACAACACAGATAAGATGGGGCGAACATTTTGGACACTTTAGTTAGGACTTTAGGACACTGATGATTCGTCGGTCTCTCGTTAATCCATAAATGATGCAGTTATTGTAGGGTTTATCCCGTTTCTTTTATTCATCTTTGGAGACACACTGGGGCACTGTCATTTCACTTTCACTTTTGGTTTATCCTTTATCCCTTAAGGGGGGGGCTGTCGCACACCTACCATTGGCAATTGATTGATTTGCACTTAGTACAAGAAGCAGCAAGGCTGCTCCTGCAGCGATTACTTTCATGATCGATTCGAGGGATTTTTTTTTCAAAACCCTTTTCTTGACCGTGGGCACTCGCGTATTACCAACAAAAATGGATTCGGGCAACTAATTTCGTGCTGGTCGCGGCGAGGCCTTTTATAGATTCCGCAACGACAAGTGAAAAGCGCCAACGATCGATCGATCGGACCGTCCTATCGCCGCTTTTTGATTATTGCTGTATATTATTGGCCACACCGATTATATGGGGGTTTTCTGTTGCTATAGCTCTATGGCCGATAAAGCGATTTCGCAGTCCCCCCCCTTACCCGATTATTTATAGCCGAGTGTGAGAGGGGGGAATTAACATAAAAAAAGCAAAAACAACTGCACCGATAAGCCCATCATAATCGAACGAAATGCGAGTCTAGAACACGTTCGATAAGGCTCTCAATGGACATGGCCCATGTACACATTTTTAGGTATATTTGCTGATTAGACGGGCTTAGCCCAAGAGCTCCGGCAAACTGTTCTGCTCTCCAACTAAATGCTGTGCAAACTGCAGTCCATTTTGTCCGTAGTTACGTATCAATTGAATGCACTTCTGGAGCACTACGCGTATCAGCCAAAGAGGAGCACTCCAATCGGGTTTGATACCGATAGTTCCATGCATCTCACAGATGGCTCTTTCCCAGAGCTACATATGTACTATTGAGTCATAAATCTTTTTGGCGTGGAATGGAAAACCCCAGATATAGGTTTCCTGGAAATCTTTCATAATCTTTAAAGGCCTATTAATTTTAAAATATGTTCAGTCATCTGTTGAAAAGCGACGGCGATTCTTTGTGAAGGGAATTAATTAATTTAATAATATATATGTATGTATGTTGAATGCACTCGTTGACTTATCGACTTGTGTCGCGATTCAAGTGTATTTAAAGCTCTGAACCATATCCAGATTACATATAAATATAAAATAATATAATATAATAATATATAATAATAATATATAATAATAATATATAATAATAATATAAAATCTAAATTAAAACCAATTTCGTGAATACCCTTATGGCATTGAAACATAGATTAATCCACCAATGATTTGGCGGTTACCAAGGACTGAAATCAAACGAGGGCGTGTGGTCGTTGGGGACACGACCACAACCCGACCAGCGATACATAGTTTTAGATTAGTACATTTTACATTTTTGCTACAGGACCACTACAATACAAGACTACACAACAGTAGGACAGTCATTTAGCTACCCCCGCTGGGGGCCCCGCCGAACGCGGCGCGGGGGGGGGTGAGTTGCGTTGCGTGCGCGGGGGGGGGGTGGCACTGTTCCATCGGCAACCGACTGATTCAATCGGCGCTGGGAGGCCCCGATGGGACGACTTGGCCGCCGTTCGTCCTTTGTGGGGGGGGGGGGGGGGGGCCGTGCGGGGTACACATGCTGGACCTTGGTTGCCCGCCGTCTGGGCGCCACGCAGCGGGCGCGGCAGACGGAGACAGACATTGCTATTCGCCGGCTAGGCGCGTTCTTGGGGGCGTTCCCCGCGTCCACCCACTTTACCACCTAACCCCCCGGTCGGGTATAAAAATGTGAAATTTGGGAATTTCCCAATCAATTTGATAATCTTTCATAATCTAAGATAACTTGAAATTCGTGTTAAGAACAAGTGAAAATAAATTAAATCGGTTTTGATTTCTGGATGATCTAATTGAACAATTTCACAATTAATTATCAGATTATGTTATATAAGTATGTAGTACCATAATAATATATTTTCCCTATCGAATTGAATAACAGATTTAACGTCATAACTTTGGGGGTAATCTTAAACCAAAATAGATTCCAAATATTACACAAACGAACAGCCAACAACGAACTTTGGGTAGTTGGCTCTATAAAGTCATATACAAGCCATGCCCAATTTCTGTTTAGATTGCGGACACAATTTATTGGATGCCATAAAAATTAGTTTAACAATACAATAAGTAGATTAGGTTAAGGAGAAGGCCGTGGGAATTAAAGCTAAAAGCATAAACGAATTTTGGTATTATTTATGAAGGGTGTAAACAAATACAGCCAATGGGACTATGATCATGACTATGGTGGAGGAGTGCAAACTGTAAGCAGAATTGGGTTTTGCTGTCGTTGGTGGTGCTGTGGGTGTTGCGCTTGTGGCCTCTGGCGAAGTTGTTGTTGGTTCTTGTGTGCTTGGTGTTGTCTGTGGCGAAGCGGTGCTTGGCGTTGTCTGTGGTGAAGCGGTGCTTGGCGTTGCTGTGGATTGTGTTGTTGGTGTACTCGTTGTGGAAGTAGATTCTGTTGTGGTGGCCGGAGCTGACTCAAAGTCGATTATTTCATCGTTGCAATGTGGTCGCTCGCGAGGATCGCACAGCTGGCAGCTGCCATTGGACAGGCAATCCAGCTGATCCGAAAGGCTTAAAGAACAGCCCCGTTCCAGGCGCTCATCGACCAATTTCGAAAAGCAAAAACTTCTACCGGTTCGCGCGATGGGACAGCGTTGGGGTGTAAGCACCTGAGGGGCATCTACACATTGCTCATCCTGTAGGACATTATTAATATAAATTGATCAACCTTTGCACTATTCAAAACTTCACCTCACTCTCCGCACACTGAAGACAGGCGGCTCTCTCAGATGCCAGAGTGTTGCACTTGTCGGACGCACAGATTTCACAATCGACTCCCTTCGAGGGGCCCACACACTGTTCCCTCCAGCTATCCTCGAGACCCTCCAGACAGCCCTGGGCCTGGACTATGCCACCCTCAAAGACGCTCGCACAGGCGTCCAGTCGATCGGAGCACTGCTCCTCCGCCTGGTAGCTGCTTCTCTGGCAGTTGATGCCGCGACAGTAAACACATTTCTCCAGCGCCAACGCTGAGCTGCTCGCCAGGAGCAGCCCAACCAGAAGTCCAACGAGAACAGAACACTTTCGGTTTGACATTGCAGAAGGCGAATCAGGCATTGGAAGACGCTTCACTACCGTCCATCGCTTTATATAAATTCTGGCAATTCGAGAGTCTTATGTTGTTTCTGCTCAAGTGGGCAAAAACAGCCCACAATCTACAGCCCGGTGACATCTCTTCAGATTTGCAAAAACAAGCCTGTTGTCTTCGCGGGGTTGCCTAAGCACCCCCCACCCGACACTCGAGAGGGCAGTTCCTCGATTAGGCATGAGTATAAGTATAAGTAGTTCCTAAGTCACGAGCAAATAAACAAGTTAACAATGGTAATGGAATTTTTTGCCATGCTATTAGCCCGTTATCTAAGTTCTTTAGATTAAATGCAATGGATAGAATAGGTCTTCAGGCGCAACTCTAATTGAAGGTTAATTGCAGACAGATGACGTGGAAATGACCACAAAGGGCATTGGAGAATGTCACGGGTGACTTTTACAAGGGAATGCACAATCGAATAGATTACAACTCTGCCATTTTCCATTAAGATAGATAACTACCAGCATATATTTAACGACATTTGATCAACAGTACTTTTCCTACAAGTAAATTAATGAATAAAAATATTCGTTTATCATCTATCAGTCTTGCCAAAACTAGTCGGTAATCCTTCATATTCCCTTTTCTATTCGCGATTCGAAACTAAAACATTTTCAATGGCTATAAAATGTTTTGCCTCCCCTGTTTCTATGCCATCATCGATCGAGCTTAAATAATTGTCTGTTGTAAGAGATATTTTTTATGCCAATTAATTTGCATTCCTTTAATCGTTTCGTATGCACGAATCAACGTCATTTGCTTGCTTGGCTTGGCTAACCGATTTATGTTCTTTATTTAAATTTATCCCAAGCTTAAAATGTCTTTAATTTGCACAGCCAATGTACATTTATTTTATCTTAAACGTTCGTATTTAATCAAGAAATTATCTGAGAAAGCGAGTGAAACGATTGCCAATGGTCGAAGCTCCGGAAATATTGACGGCATTGCAGTTGCGGATGTCACCCGGGGAGCACAGAAGGCAGTTGGCATCCCCCAGGCAGCTCTGCTGGTCGGTCTCCGTGGTGGCACAGCCACGCTGGGTCGTGCTGCCCGATGACTTCACATAGCAGTACGAGTTGGGGGCGGTGGGAGCGGCACAGCGAGCGGCCTGCAGTGTGGCGGCATTCTCAGCACAATTGGAGTCCTTTGCAGAGAGCAGAGATTAAAGAATGTATAGAGACACGTTATGCCCTATGTTTACCTTGCTGGAGTCGCACTGGATGCAGGCATACTTAGCCGAGCCCACAGTGTTGCAGCGATTGGTGTTGCACTTGTGGGAGGAGTGGGGATCGTTGCTGCGCGCACGCAATGCGTTGGGGATCTCCAGAGAACAGCCCTTGAACAGGACCTCGGCTGTAAAAGTCGATGGGTTCAGGGGATTATCTTGTGCTCCCATTGGCTTTTGCCACTCACCTTCATCGAAGACGGTCACACAGTAGTCCAGGGAATCCACGCATGCCTGCTCCTTATGAAGCGAGCTGCGCTGGCACTCGGCGCCCTCGCAGCTGTGGCAGGTGAGTATGGTGTTGCCTGCCGCGTTTGCCGCCAGGCAGAAAACCGCCAGCGTAATCAGGATTGCTGTGTCTTTCATTCTGTTGCCTCAAATGTCGAGCAATTGGCCAATGTGCTCGGCTTTTATACCGCCAGCCACTCCAAATGGCCAACTGGAGGGCACTCAAGTGCGGTCTCCTCCCCACTGCGCACTCCGCACACCGCACTCTACACTTCCCACTCCCCACTCTGCGAGTGTGCAAATGTGTGTAAATGGCCAAGCACTCGAGTGTGCTGTGTGAAGAGCCGACAGCACGGGACAGTGGCATAGGCACAACACATGATATAGTCACACTATCGCGGGCCTCCAGATTGTCGGATTCAAAGAATTGGAAATGATTTAAGCGATTGCGAAGGATCGATAATCAATGTTAGACAGCTGTGGAACTAGTCGTGCCCTGTCTGCCGACAAGAGAAGACCTTAGAATTGGGCAGGGCAATTGTTTAATCCTAGAGCATATACAAGCTCCTTCTACCAACTCTATTAGTAGCCAGTATATACTTTCGAGCCTTATAGAGGATAAGTATAGTCTACAGCTGTATCTCCGTATTTATATCCTTTTTTATGAGTTAGTGAGATTCCTTGGAAAAATACCTGAATAAACACAATCAAAAGTGCTAACGAAGCGTTGCTATTCGATTGACCATCACTGTATATAGAGCGGTTTATTTTTTGTTTGAGAGCTCTCCACAGAACTCCCTACGATTCCATTCCCCACAATCACATGCTACTCAACTGACAGACTAATCGAGTCTTTGGTCAAATAGAAAAAAGGAAACACATTCATTGGTTGGGGGCGATTGATTAATTCTCATTTATTTGGATTTGATTCTCTCACAAAAGATGGCAAATTACTACTTGAGCAAGAGAAGGGCCAGCAGGCTAAAGAGAGCCAAGCTCAGGCCTATTACCTTTTGACCTTGTGCTGCACTCGATCTGGCGTAGGACAAGTTGAAAGTGTTGCAGGCCACGGAGTCGCCAGAGTTATCGGGCAGGCAGAGCGAGCAATCTTTGCTCTCCAGGCAACTCTTCTGCTCCTTCAGGGACAGGGCACAGCCGCGCTGAAGGTGTTCGCCCACGATCTTGACATAGCAGTAGGAATTGATGGAAGTCGGAAGGCCGCACTGCGATGCCTTCAATGTGGTGGTGCCACCTTCGTTGCAGGTCTCTGACTAGAGGAGGTGCAGAGAGAGTATATCAGTAGAGCATTGTAGAGTAGAGCAAGGTATTCAAGGTGAAACCCACATCAGATCCGCTGCATTGAATGCACTGGAAGTCGCTGCGTCCCTGATTGTTGCACAGTTCGCCGTTACATTTGTGGCACTCCGGACTCTTAGCCTGGCACTTGGCCTGGCCTGCCAGGGAAATCTGCGACAGACAGCCTCTCTGGCTGACAGCAACTATTGAAGAAATGATTTTAGGCCTTGAATGGCTAGGGACTCTGCCCACCAAAACTCACAGTTCTCGTAGATGGTCACACAAATGTCCAGTCGATCGACGCAGCCGATGGTCACATTCTGTTTGGTTGTCCTCAGACAGTTGATGCCCTCGCAGCTGTAGCACTGAGGCGGCTCTGCCGCATTCTGCAGCTCTGGCGACTCCCAGGCAAGGGCCTGAGGAGCGACCAGAAGCGCCAACAGACAGGCAATCAATCCAGACCAAAATGGCAGCATATTTTTCTTATGGGATAGTGGAACAACCAGCTGCTTTGCTAAACCGAAAAGAACTGATACTGAACTGCAATTGGATTTTGAAAATACTACACGAAAATTCACAATTATTTTGCGCCACTTGAGACCGTGTTCCCTGCCCACCCCCCCAGCCAATCCACTCAATCATATTCCCCCACACAGCCATTGATAACGAAAAAGCTAAGAACTGTATGGTTGATATATTTCGACTAAAGGTTACCGCAACCACGGAAAAACACTCTCAATATGGGTGGTACATAAAGGTCAGCTCCAAAACAAAACGGATTAGTGGCTACAATTGGGTCCTGTAAATTTTCCCTACCAATTATGTTCCCAAAGCTCTTCGAGTACCAAAGATCTAGGAGGAAAAAAAGACGGACAAAAATCCTGCTCTCCGAATTATTTTTTGAAACGAATACAGTATACCCTGGGGGTGTACACAATTACCTGGTATAATTGTATGGTTCTAGGGCATACAATTTCAAGATGTTTCCTTAGATTAGTACTGATTTCAAGTATAACGAAACGCTTTGTGTTTGTTTGCATGACCATTAAAGTGGATTCGCAGCTGGGATTGTTAGAAATCTTATCTGTCTTTGAGGCATGGAAAAAAAATGGAGCAAACGGTTAACTGGATGATAACTGGATGACCATGACTAATACGCATGACTGCCCAACGATTTCATTGAATTAAATATGATTTATAAACATTTGTTTTGATTTTAATAAATATTAAATTTTTCCACGTTCTTTTGTGTTTTTTTATTATCGTCAATTTTTTTGACGATTCCTTAACTAAAATGAAAAATGTCTTTCGATTGCCCATCGCCGGCCAATGGGTATTTTATTTGGCATTGGGTTATCTTTGACTTATGGTCGCGGATCGGTGTGTGTGTGAGTTGTTGTAATCAATTTTTATGACACACAGAAAAAAAACTATAATCGTGGCGTGTGATAGATATGGCTGAGTAAGACATTTGTGCTTTTAATTGGTTGAAGTGCACCTCTACATAAGCTCTGACGAACGTTACTTCCACGTACAGTGTACACAGATTGTACATGGTTATGGTACATGTTCTGTTGATAAAGTTGCCTCATGCGGAGTATAAGCGGCAGAATAGTTTAGCTGACGGGCAAACCACATTCAATTATATAAGATTTTCTTTTGGTTTTGCATGCCGCAATTGAAAAGTTTTTCCGGAGAAACTTTAAATGGTAAGGTCAAACCAGGCAAAAACTTTGTTGGACTCGCGCACAAATTAAAGCACAACTGTACTTATTTGCATACATTTAGAGCAGATTTTCCAAGGAAACCAACACGAGGGGATTACGTTACACAATCGCAAAAGCAGGGACGGGGACGGGGATGGGGGGCGGACACTAAACCCCCAAAATGGAAAAAAGAAGGGAAAATAATACGGAAAAATAACAAAGAAATATGCAAAGCAGATGAATTGGGGGGATACGAATGCGTAAAGGAAAGCGAAAGGAGCAGAAACGAAAACGTAAACGTAAAACTGGAAAAACTGAAATCTTTGTAAAAATTGTGAGCTGCAGAGGGCGAAGGTGGGCTGGGACAAAAAGTTCTACTAGGGAAGAACAAATGACACAAATGAAAATGAGTGTGGGACAGATGGGACAGACAGTACAATGGGATGGTGGTGGGGGGTGGATGAATCCACTCAAAGGTATAGAAAAGGAAAACGGAGTGTAAAGGGAGGGGCAAGACCAAGCTGATGGAGCAACAGATGTCCAGAAGATCCATCTAAGATGGATTCCCCTTTTGCCTTCCCCTCCTGCACCACCTGCGCTGTCTCCTCATTCATCTCTATTTCCATATCCTCATCTTCAATGTATTCCTCTGCAAACTCTTTGGAATCGATCTCTTCCTTAAGATTTACTTTCTCCACTCGTTGCGCCGCGACATCCTCCCTCCTCCCTGCCATCACTAACTTCTTGGGAGTCAAGTAGAATTTTCCCCTGGGTCCTCCCACTACAATTTCATTGCGATCCAAGCATTTGATTCTCTCCACTCGAGGCATGTGCCTGCTACTCCCATCACCGCTAACCACAAACTGGAACTCATCCAGTCCGGCACAGACGGCCGAGTAGATGCCCCATCGGCTGACCACCACCAGGCCGCCATTGAATTCCGTGTGGTGCCTGAGCAGGCGTCGCATCACCCCCTCGGCAGCCTTGGCCGGCGACTGTCCGGCACGGAGTGCCTCGACGGCCAGCAGGGCGGGCAAAAAGCGCATCAGGACATCGCCATCTCCGGTGGCCAGGGCGCCGCCCACTTTGTTGTCGGCATAGATGCCGGCTCCGGGCACAGCAGCGTCGCCCACACGGCCGGGGATGCGGAAGCGTGCACCGCTCGAGAGGCTGGCCGCATGGATGTAGCCTTTAATGTCCAGGGCCAGGAAACCCACCTGATCGTAATGGCCCTGCTCGATGGGATACTCCTGACGCAGCTCACGCTGGTGCTGCTCCTGGGGCAGCGGCGAGAACGCACCGCAACTGGCATTGGCCAGCGGCCGCACATTCCGCCAGAAATTGGGCTGACAATTAGCCAGTCGCCAGGCGAGCAAAAGCTCTTTGGTGTTCAAAGTGGAGATATTCTCTTTCTTGTGCCCCATGGCCTCGGCAAAGCTGGCAGCAGCCTCACCCACCAACAGGGAGTGGTTCGTGTACCTCAGGACATCGTGCGCCACTCCGATAGCATTGCGTATGCCGGCCAATCCGGCCACAGCACCGTAACGCATGTCGGTGCCATCAATGAGGGCCGCTTCCAGGGTGATCCCGCCAGAGGTGTCGGGCGCGGATGCACCGCTGAGTAGGCGGCCACAGTTGTCCGAATCCTGGCAGTACATACAGCCTTGGATCACAGACTGGCGCGTCTGTTGGGAGCCCGTCCGGAGCACGAGCCATGCCTCGCGATTCGCATCCGTGTAGTTCCCAGTGCTGATCATCAGCGGCAGAAAGCGTTTCAATGGGATCGAGTGCTGCGATTCGTGCAGCAGCAGCAGCAACAGCAAAATAATCAGAAGCTGAGCGCAACAGAAGTAACTCATGACTGAAACCAAGAGGAGGGCTGGCAATCCTTTTAACAGCTCTGATTCTCGATTCGATTAGTAATCCCCAATGAACCAAACAAACTGGAAACTGTTCCACGAAGGCAGAAACTTCCCCAAGAAGTTGCAAACTTTTCAAATTAAAGGCAAATCAATACGAAATCAGTACGAGTAGTACGCAAGCAAGAACAAGCGTCAACACAACTCACCAAAGACCAATTAAGATTCATGAATAAGTCAGACATGGATTTTACACCTCCTCGGATACATTTCGTGCGTATATCTGCCCCACTTGATTTATTTGTCACAGAGAAATAAACAATTTGCAAGTATTTATCATATTCAGGCATTGTCAGCGGGTAGGACAGCGGTGGATACTCGAAATGTCACAGACAAACTCATAAGATACAAGTATTTGTTATGCATTGAACTTTTGTCTTTCTATCTGCGTGCGTATCTGTGTGGGGTGGAGTTTGTGTACATAAATATATGTACATATGTAGACATATCTGATGGAAACAACACTTTTATTTGCAAACCGCAGAGAGAGAAAGAGAGAGAGAGGGAGAATGGTGTGGAAAATTGCCAATTGGTCCACCCACTCGACCCATTCCCAGCGACTGACTACAGTGTACAAATCTCGGCAAAGGTGCGTTTCAGCACTATAAGTTCGTTGTGTTGGTTGCACTAAGAATCGGTTTACGAATAATCGCAAATATCACAACGCGTTATTTTATCTTTTAATGTTATTTTAGTTTAGTTATCAAATAAAAATTTACAATTTCGCCATATGCATCCGCCATATAGTTACGTGGCGCACTGTATCTACTCTTCATAGTTTTTGGTGTCAATAATTGAATGCTGATTGGAAATTTTGCCTACCGTTAGATTTGTGTCCCAGGGGTGCCATCTCCCCAGCTGGCTCCCCATCTCTGCTGGCCCACCGCCTGTTTCCTCCCCCATCCACTTATCAAAAATGCTATTTTCTCACAATTGGCTTCAATCATGCTGGCCATATGCATTGAATATTGATTGATTGATGAAGGCCCCAGCACCAGCACCAGCTCCATTCCCAGTTGTGGTTGTTGTGGGGGTTTCGTAGTTTCATAAATCCTTTTGCGCTCAGTCTTTCGATTTCCTTTTGCCCAGCCCACCCACGTTTTTGTGTCGGCCTGTGGTTTCTGTGCCTGTGTCCCTCTATCTATTTCTCTATCCAGTCAACTGTATGAGGCCTCTTCTCTTCACGCTTGTAATTACGTTTATTGTGCGTTTGAGATTTTTAATTCGTTCGATGCGTGTCAGTCCATCAGTGCCTAGTGCCTAGTGCTGGTGCTGGTGCTGGTGCTGGTGCTGGTGCTGGTATATGCTTGTGGGCCTCGTTTGCCGTGTTGATTGAAAATAGCTCAAGTAATTGACAGTTTATTGGCTGTTGCGTTTGTTGGCGTTGAAGCTGGTTTGTTACTGGATGACGTTTGCTATTTGGATTGAGTTTTGAAGCTGCAATTGCAAATTGTGGTCATTGTGAAGGACTGCGAAATGCGGTTAGATGCTGTCAATGTGTCGGCAATGGGAGAGGGGAAAGTAATTATGAAGAGAACTAGGTCGAATGTAAAATTAGAATGCAAGTTGACCATGGAACGAATTATCATTCGAACAAATTGATCGAAATAGACGCTGGAAGAGATGTACTGCTTCAACCTTGAGACCCTTTCAGTTGCGTTTAAGTAATTTGAATATTAGATGCACTGGTTTAACTCAAAATATTCAAGTGTCTGTGGCAGCCACTAAGGAAGAGTGAAAAACAGAGTAAGAGCTCGGCTTGAGTGTGTTCCGCACCTCTTTTCAGGTCAACTAATGGTGGCATTTTGGCAAAGGCAAAGGCAACATCTAACAGCAACAACAACAACAATAATCATGTGAAGAACTTTTGACTGCAAAAGTGGATTTGCTTTGGGGGCCATTTTGCGTCATTTTCCGTTTTCCTTTGGTGGCGCCTTTGCTTGGCTTGCTATGCGGTCTGTGCTTTGGCGTTTTATTCACTTTTTGCTACACAACTCAACCCATTCCAAAGCTTGCATCCCGGCCAACTGCTGCCGCGCTTACCTTTTGCCTTGTGCCCCTCGAAACCGCTCGACACAAAGTGGTGCTCGTGGTTGCGTCCAGGCGTAAAAGTGTTTGTAGCCGCCAGAGCAGCCAGCCATCAGGCTTATTTTGCCACTGAAGAGCCCCCAGCAGACGTGCCCTCAAGGGAGGGTAGCAGCAGTAGGGGTTGGGGTAGGGATTGGGGTTGGGGTTGGGGATCCAGGTGTGGTCTTGTGTGTGCCGCGCATTTGGGTCAGGGTTCAGGCGGAGCAGCAGACTCAAAGATTGTGGCTGACATAGAAATGTCGCGAGAAGTGGGTGAAGGCTGTACGGCAGGCACAGTTGGCACTTTCAGAGAAGAGAAAGTGAAAGGCTTGTGGGCTCTACTTAAAATATCAGCGCTTCGGAAGTATGTCTGTAAATTATTAACCGACTGGAATCTAAAATTCAATTAAAATTTAAGAAAACTGGCAAGCCAATCCAACTAGAGCAACATTCCAGCTGGAACCCACCCATCCCCATCCCCTGCCATAATCTTTGGAAATAGACAACTTGGTTAATCATCAGAGATCCCCCCAAAGGCCAGACCAGTTTCAATGGACACCCAAAGCGATACAGAGCGGAGCGGAGCGGATACAGAGTTGGTATGGGATTTTGCTAGTTGTCAGTGCCTTGGGTGGGCAATTTGAAGCAGAGCAGCGACATCCAACAATCAAAACTGCCATGATTAATGTCAACACAATTGACATAAAGCATTGGCCATGGCCAAGAGTGGAAAGCCCCCGGGCAGGCAACTGGAAAAACTCGAAATTGACAGGGGCAGGGGCAGGGACAGGGACAGGGGCAGTCAGGGACAGAGCTGGCACAGGCAAGTGGTGGATGCAATTATTGATGGATTATTTACTGTCAGCACTGTCCGTTATGACAATGAGATATGGCCACAGGGCGGGCTAGCCGGACTGGCCGGGCTGGCCGGGTTGCCTGGGTTGGTCGGATGCGATGTCTGGAGAATGTCTGCAGCCAATGACATCGACTAGACGATGAAGCTCACTTGCCAGCAGCCCCCCGGAGCATTAGCCAGCGCCAAGTCATTGAATTTAGCTTTGGCATCTCTCATCTCTGACTTTGCAATTTATGGCCCGCAATTATCCCGTGTGGCATGTACAGCATACTCGTAAGTATTCAATATATTCAATATTCCCCATCATTGCATTGATGCATTAATTGCGCGTAATCACCTTTCATATAAATAACCAAACAATAACCGCCAAGACCGCCCAAGACTGCTCAAACTGAGGTGGCAATATGGAGAGGAAACTCTGACTCTGAGGAAATCCAAAGTCAAAGTCAATGATGGGGCGACGCCTTCGCTCATTTACATATTTCGTGTAATTATGCGTGGAAATTACAACGGGAGCGAAGAGATTATAATCGGGAATGCTATGGCCATCGTCATCCATCGCATAACTTCTTGTCATGGGGCCCTGAGACTGTGGGGCTGGGGCTGCCAGTCAGGCCCAGACATTTGCCGTTAATTATGTTGACAGCATTGACAGCAGCGATGGGAATGCTACTGAGGGGTTTGTGGAGTGGAAATGGGACAACGACTGGGAAGCGGTTGGTGGGGGGGGACCACCAGCCATGTCGTGTCAATCGATAAACGTTTAATCGCCTTGAATTGATAATAACCAAACTGTACATTGTGAGGATGATGATGACAGGGAATGGACATTCCGTCTAATGGATAATTTGTGTTTTGGCTCAGCTTTTGATTTGGCCGCTCAATCACATTTCAAATGCAAAACATCAAACCGAAACGGAAATGAAGGCGAATAAAAAAGAAGAACAGTTGGTTTCTTTTTTTGTCTATTTTTCATTTCTTATAAAACGCATTTGGAAAAATTATAAACGCTTATGAGGGAGTGGTGACAGTCAAATGTTGTATAGATTATGGGAATGGTGGGTCATCCTTATACGGATTTAGGTGTACCGAGAACCCCTTTCGGGTTTAATTTATTTGATGCAGAATGTTACAAGATTATATCGATAGATTATCTTATTTAATTATTTCCAAATAACACAGCTAAAATGTAGCAATCAGATATATAATAAAAATCTATAAAAACTTTACTCACCAATAATAACACAGGAAAGTAAGTCCATGCTGAAAATAGAAAATGGCTTGATGAAATAAAATATAGACCAAAAAAATAAAGAAAATAAAAAATTAAGAAAATAAAAAAAAAAATAAAAAAATTTACGTGTGCGTCGGCCGGGAATCGAACCCGGATCAACTGCTTGGAAGGCAACTATGCTGACCATTACACCACCGACGCCTCTTGCCGTCCAACGGAAATGTACCCCATATCAAGCAGCTGATATCAGAGCGACGCAAGAGCGCTGCTGCAGCGAGGGTGAGCGAGAGAGAGAGAGAGTGGTAAGGAAAAGGGCTGTCGTCATAGGTATAATAATTACTGTATAAACTATAATTTGTGCAATTGCCAGACATTTTAAGGGCTATAAATCAACAAATATGAATCATTCATGATTATCAATCGAACGATAATAAATAATTTAGTGAAAATCATGGCTAAGCCAATTTGCTTTGCAGTTGAACTTTGAGGTAAGAGATAGAGTTGGGATCGGAGTCGGGCACATGCTTCCGCTTATAAATTGCAGAAATGTGCTGAATTTATGAGCAGCCGCAAGATAAATAAAATGATATTTATGTTGATTGCTTATTTGCTTTAAGAGTAATTGGTTAAATTTGTTTGCCTTTTCCACTGGTGACTGGCGAAAACCTCTATATGCTTAGTGGCTACCCGAGTAGGTGTTGCGTAGGTGTCAAAGGTCAATGGGTGTCTGTCGAGCCATGACTGCCTGCAGCTAAAACTTGCTCAACAG